ACTTATTTTCGAACATAAAAAAATCTTTGTTCATATTATTTTCATGTAAACTTATTTTAGATAATTATTCATATTTGTTTTTACTTAAAAAATCTTTTTTTCTTTTAATTATTTTTAATGTAAAAACAAATATGAATAATTATCTAAAATCTTTTATCATCTTTAAAAGTCAAGTAATTATAAATTAATATATTACGATTTATCTTTATTTATTTTTCTAATTTTAATCAACTAAATATAAATTTGAAATGTTAAATAGTATAGAATATATACAAACACTTGTAGAAATAGTTATAGATACGTTGATCGAGTCGTTGACCCGAATCAACCTGGTTCAACCGTTTGACCCTTGACTCACTTGCTCACCGATTCGATGTCCGGTCCGAATTTCAAAACATTGATTCTTATTGTAATCAAGTTGAGTTTAGTTCAGATTAGAAACAACTTTAAATATACCAAAAAACTTATTTGAAAGATCAAAATCACATTCCAATATGACCAAGACCGCCCTACCTATCAAATAGGGCTTCCGAGGAACGGTCCTTTGGGGCGATGAGATGACAGGCTCCCGGACGATGATCCGTACCATCACCACCGCGACAGAAAGTTCCCAGGCGGGACCAAGGAAGGTTTATCACTACAACCACACTGATTCCTGCAAATCTTCTCGCTGGACTTCCAAGTAAATTTATGGCCATGCCACCCTCTCTTCTTTTTGGTCATTATTTCTAGCTAATGTTTGAGCTTGTTTTAGGAATTGCGATAACCGTTTAATTTTGCAAATAATACCAAGAGCTACAGAGTAGGTTTTTTTCAAGTAATACGCAGTACTAGTCTATGGCTATGGATATGACTATGGATGCCCAAGAATTAAAATCCTATATCCTATATACTCCGTATATATATGTAAAGTTGAGTTTATCTCTTGGAGTGTGCCACATGTGCATCCACATGTGCATTGAGATGGATGAATTTGCATGCCACATGTGCATCCACATGTGCATTGAGATGGATGAATTTCATTGGTCCATTTAATTTTTTAAAAAGATCTTTTAACACATTTTATTTTATTAAATAAATACTTGGTCCGTCCCTGAGTGTTTGTCCACTTTTGACTTTTGGAACTGTTCATCTAAGCACTTTGACTCATCAAATTATCTCAATGTGTAAGCCTAAAAATAGTCATGTGTGATCTTGTTTGATTCGTCTTAACATATAGATTATTAATATATAATTTTTATAATTTTTTAATATACAAATTACAAGATAAAATGGATTAAAGAAGTGCATTGGATGGTGTGCAAAAATGAAAGTGGACAAACACTCAGGGACGGAGGGAGTATTATATTTTAGTACTAAAAAAAATTATTTAATTATACTTTGTATAAAAAATGTCATTTTTAACAATTTTATAAAAATATATTTCATCATTGTAAAATATACTCCGTATTTTATATTTATATATGTATATACACACACACACATATTGCCACACATATATATTCTCTAATGATGTATCATTATTTAATAAGTCCATTTTTTATTATAATTTTTTATTAATTAAAACTATTTTCATTAGTACTTTATTCAATAATGACCATTAGTTTTGTATAAATTTTTTGTTTTTAAATAAGCATACCAATATACATTCCACCAGTTTAAAACATATTTTTTTTACATAATTAAATTATATCAATAAATACTTTTTTAACTTTATCGATGTTTTGAAAAAATAAGTTTCATATGATTTTTAAAAACAATAAATCGTGTCTCTTTTACTACTTTTAAAAAAATACTTATAGAATCTTTAGTGCATGTACATCTATATTTAAAGTATAATATTTGAAAAATTTAGAATAAAATTAAATAAAACTAAATAAAATTATATTTATAGAATGTCAACAATTAGAAAACTAAATTAAATAAAATTATATTTATAGAATGTCAAAAATTTAGAATATCTACGAGCCCGTGCGAAGCACGGGGTTAACACTAGTTAGGTAGTAATACTTAAGTTGTGAAAGCTTGACTAAGCCCTATGCCCCACTGGTCCCTGACGGCTTCAGCTTCTGATATTTTGTTTCTAAATGTGTCTCTACACCATGGAATTTGTAGTTTTGTAAGAGGCTGAGAATGCCATAGACATAAACACCACTTTTCTCACTGAACCGCCAAATCAAACAATATAGTTTCAAATTAGAATGCAAAAGAAATGACCTGAGAGAAACTATTTCGAGCAGAGAAATTTGTCTCTTGGAAACAGTCTCTCTACTTCCAAGTAGGGATAAGGCATGTGTACACACACCCTCCTAAGAGTCTACTTTTGTGGGACTATTGATTTTGCTTGTTTGTTGTGTTGACTATAGGAGCCTTTTCACAAAGGCAGGGCCCTCAATAATACCCATAGGAGTAAAAAAACATATATCAAAATGACAAGAATTCATTACAGTTTTCTAACAAACATTGGATGCAATTGACACACGAGTGAGAAACCATGTGGGGATAAATGATAAGTACTTCACAAACATGACTTGAGGTCATAGACTCGTATTTGTCATGTCGTATGCGCTAAAGTCATGGCAGTGATCCATTTTGGCACAATGATGGCAATGCCATAATCATAGCGCCACCATAGGCCAAGAAAAGTAACAAGTACTCCCTTCGTCCCATGCCAAAAGGCACATTTACTATTTGAGTCTCTCAATAATTTTTATTTATTTATGTGTTTTCATTGATCATTTGATAAAATAAAATAGTAATGTCACCTCTTATTTTGTAGAACTTTAGACGTAGTTTTAATTATGTTAGTTTCATTTTAAATTTCAATACTAATTTTTAAATAAAATAATTTTAAAAAGGGTGGAATTTTGCACGTTAAAAAATGCCTTTTGACATGGGATGGAGGGAGTATAAATACGAACTATAATAACTGAGTAAAAGAGTTAACTAAATAAAAATAGGTAACAGATAATAAACGAATAATGATAACAACCGTGTAATATGATAGTAAACTTGATGTCAAGAAACCAAATCAACCAAAAGCTCAAGCTTGTGGTAGTAGGTCATGGAAAAGGTTATATACTCTAACACTTGAATACAACTGTAATATGGGGGTGAGAGGTGACTGTGTTTACAACACTTTAAAGTACTTGGCCATTGGCAAATGATCCAACAGATTGTTGTCCTCAAGAGAATTGTAAATCAAAATGGTGTTGCAAACTCAGTTCATAATGTAATTAAAACTTCAATAATTCTTTTAATCCTGAGTTGAGTTAAAAGAGTCATCCATTTAAAGTTAGGAAATAGGAACAATATTCTAATATTCATATCCCTCCACCCATTTTTTAATGCAGTTTGTTGCATTATTGTTAGTAATGGACAACGTAACCTCTGAAATCTTGAATACATTATTAAAGTATGCCATGTTGAATCAACAAAACACCTTTCATATTATGGTCCAAGTTTTTTCATGAATTTGAAGAATAGCCATGTTTTCTATGCTATCTTAATCAGAACTTTTGATTTGTGCTTATTCGAAAGATGAGTTAAAATTCGTACTTGTTCAAACATTATCACAACAAACAGTTAATATGGAATATATATTCTAGATCGTGGAGGATTCAAAGCTCTATAGTGATTAGTTTGTTCAACAGGGACAACAATGTTGTGAAGCAGTGTTATGGGATCGGTATACGAAGAACATGAAGAATGACTTGATAGACTTAGCGAATCGCGTATAAACGCTTTTAGATTAAAGTTATTTCGGGGTATACCATAATACTTCAATCGGATAAGACGCAAGTAATCTAGAACGCGTATGGAATTTTTGGTTGTCTCTCGAAACATACCAAGGTTCCATATTTATAGGCAAGTTCTGAACGGACGCGTTGGTTGTTGAAGTAACCAACTTTCGGGTAACATTCAAATGTTGGTGCTCTAACATGCAAATGTTGGTGCTCTAAGATTCAAATGTTTAATGGCGGATTGGGTAAAACGGTTACTTCTGCAATTAAGTGCGAATTATTGCAACTTATCGCGAAACATTCAAATGTTTGGGTTCAAACATTTGAATGTATCGAGAAGTTTCCCACACGATGAGCTGGATAAACACAACATTCGAATGTGCTGATTTGTGCATTCGAATGTTCAATATTTTGAACTCCATATACAAAAGTCCAAAGGATTTTCATATTCATGAAGGAACAATATCCAAAACAAATTTTCCCTTGTTGTCCCGGCCGCTTGACCCCGGCCAAGGGCTCTGCCCCTTGGACCCCGCCAGGGGCTGCCACCCATTGGTACCTGCTCCGAGGGGTGCCGCCCTCGGACCCCCGCTTTAGAAATTTTAATATTGCTGAACGACCGTGCACTCCGCACTCGTTAACAACGTATATTAAAATTCTTGTCCATTCTAAGTAAATCCCAATTACATAAAATAGCCGATGACACTAAAATCACCAACACAGTTTGAGTACTTTTTGGCCTATCCTGCTCCCGGATGCACAAACAAAGCCAAAAAGGCACAAGAGAATAATCAAGCATAGGGATATCTTACAAATAATATTCCACCATCCGATTGGTTTAAGAATGGAAAAGCATTATCCAATTAATTAATACTCTTCTGTCCCAAAAATTTTGTCCCTTTTGACCTTTTTTGTCCGTCCCACTATTTTTGTCCCATACCATATTTGTTTATGTTTGTAGCAATGTAGCTGAAACTCATTCATACGTTTTCTTACTTCTAATATTGCTATCAACCACGCAATTCACATTTCTTTATTTTTGTGCCACTACCTTATGTCCCATGTTGCCCCTAAGAAAAGAATGACTATTCCACTGGAAATGGGTATAGCTAATTCTAGGAGTGGTCATTCTTGGGAATGGATAACCAACCAAATGATAAAATAGGTCTTTTCTCAGTAAAGTTCATACATGTTTGACCTTGTGACTGTTCTCTTAAGGTGTCTCATACAAAGATGCATATCTAGCCTGTCAGCTGTGTGAAAAGAATCACATTGCACATGTATTAATATGCAATTGATCTTGGCAGGGAATGCTACCAATTCATGTCTGCAAGGCCATGGCAAAAAGTTGTTGAATTTTATTCAGAAATGGTGAAAGGGCAGTCAAAATTGGAAGATATGTTTCAAAGAGAGGTAAACATGTTGAACAAAAAGTCTTTTAGTTTAGAGAATATACTTTAACTAACCATATTTGTTGCAACAATAAATTTTATACCAATCATTTTATATGCGAGTATGATAATCTTGAAAACTATTGTAGCTTTAGATTCCATATGTTTTATCAAACATTTGGCAAATTTTCCAAACAACAAAGTACAAAGTGGAAATTTTGAGTGCAGTGATGAATATAAGATCTTAAAGAAGAGGATGTAACGAGATTTAAATTGCATTGAAATAATTTGTGAATACTTTATTGGCATGTTTTTAGGTAGGCATCAACTAATTTGACGGTTCTTACATTAGCTCTAAGGCAAAGATGGGCCTTCTACAAGCTAGCTTATAAGCACTGTTTTATTTAAGAGCGTATTTGATAAGCTTTAGGTTTTTTGTAAGGATCTATTAGTATCTTTTCAAATAAGCTTCATGAGTTTTTGGTTTAAAATTCTATTTAACCTCTCTTTTAAACATTATTTTAAACATCACTTTGTATAATTTTGTATTTTGAAGCTAGCTTATCCATACTTTTGTCAAACACTAATATTTATATCATTTCTTTCACCTATAAAATATAAGCTATAAGCTATTATGTCCTGATTAGCTTATCAACCAATCAGCTAGCTTCTCAACTTGTTTCACCAATAAAAAAAAAATAGAAACTGAATTTTTTACCAATTTATTTTAAATGCATTTGTTTTTCCATTTTTGCATTACATAATCCGTTACTGTGTATGTATAATTATGATTTTTCTATATTTACTACATTTATTTAGAAAGGTTCTGCCACAGATTCCTACCATTCAAGAAGAAGCAGAAGCTAAAGAATATTTTGTGGAACCTGAGTTGGGTAGCTTTCCAGTTGAAGATAGGACTGGAAGATGGGCAAGAGTGACATTTAAGATTGTCCTATCATATCATGGGCCCTCCTTTGGTGGCTGGCAGAAGCAGCCTGGTTTGAATACTGTTCAGGAGTATGTTACCACTCAATCTACCCTAGCAGAAAGCGAACATCACACAAATCATTGGGAGTTTTTAATGCCAGTTTCATGGCCCTTAAGATTTGGTTTCTAACTCATTTTAGGAAATCATTAGTTCATTACCTACTGTCTATTTGTGATGAATTTGTCAAGCATGCCTGTTGTGTGATTGTGATATAGTATATGGCATTATGCTAATTTGTGGCATGAGGATTGGCTTCCATGTTATTGCCTGATGTTGTCAACTTGTCATATGACAGCACAGATTGAGGGCAAAAATGATTCAAAATATAGATTTTCTGTACGAGTGGTTTTATGCTTTTGGAATTGAAGTTGTCATTTGGAATCATGCAGTGTAAGGGGATGCCTTGGCGCACCAGTTTAGGTGTTGCTGTCTGACCTTGAGGTCACGGTTTGAGTCCTAGAAGCAACCTCTTGCATAAAAATGCAAAGTAAGGTTAGCACATTACACCCTTGTTGTGGGACCCTTCCCCAGACCCTCGCTAAGAGGAGATAGTTTGTGCGCCGGGCTGCCCTTTTTATGTGGAATCATGCAGTGATTTAGGTCATATAGACCAAATTGAGTTGTAGTAGGTATACTGACGGACTATTTTGTATGTCAAGCTATGTTTTTTGACATAATATTGGCATCTAAAAGAATGCTACGGTAAAGGATTAGGCATCTTTAGGTAATGATTGTAACACTTTTCTAGCTTTGCTTTTAGTGCAGTTGTTTGACCTTAAATACATAAATATTATGTGTTTCTGTGTGACAATTTGTAATACATTCTCATATATTTATAGTTCATTACCTTTATTTCTCATACACTATGTCATATACCTAATTACCTATTCGGTTATCTGTCAAGGAATCTAAAGAAAAACATTATTTGATGATCATCAATAAGGTTCAATCTGCTGTAAGTTTTTGTTGTATTCACATTTGTGTTTTAATACTGTGTTTTATCCAGGCTGGTTGAAAGATCTCTTGGGAAATTTGTCGATGACAAAAAAGCTCAACAACTTAAGGATAGGAACTTACCATTAGAAGGCTGTGCATTAGTTGCTGGGCGCACTGATAAGGGGGTTTCAGCCTTCCAACAAGTCTGTTCTTTCTGTATGTTCCTCTATGTTTCATGTCTGTTCAATTGTTCAATATCACTCCCTCTATTTACTTTTTTTTTTCTCGCCCAAAATCCATTTACCTGCCTATGACCTTGTGTGAATAACATTAAATCTGACCTTTGTTTTTGCTTCATTTTATCTTAACATTTGACATCTAGCATCAAGAGGATGTGTTTTTGACACCTTAGTTTGAAGTGTTGTGATAAGTTGGGTATTCCCTTTGTTGTCTCAAATTGTAAGATGCACATGTGTTTGACACAATCCTTTTAGGAATCAGTTAAATCACATTATACATTATTACGGAGTACTTTTTAAAGCTCACCTATTTGACATAGTGAAATGTTGAAAGTAGATTAATGATAATAGGGAAAATTTATAGAAGTCAGTGGTTTTTGAGTTAGAAAAATGAAAATTATTTTGGGACAATTGAAAAGGCAAAGTAGATCTAACTCATCTAAGAAAATGAGGTGGAGGGAGTATTGGTTGTATTTTCTATGAAATGAAATTTTGGTCTTAATCTCACTAAGTTAACTGCCAAACTATAGCAGTTACATTGTTAGTTTTTTTTAATGAAGTTGTATAACTTGTTTCATGAACTAATGATTTCCCTTCAAAAAGTCCAACATTTATGGAAAAACAACCAACCGCATTGCATGATTTGATAGAATTACTGGCTCTGCCCTAAAATTATTTGCTCGTTTCAGTAATGAGGTTTGACTGCAGTTATCTTTCAATTCAATATATTTAATTATTAGTGCAAAGTTTAAAAATGAAATTTATATATTTAAAAACTACATCAAAAGTTTTACAAAACAAGAAGTGACATGACTGTTTTATTTGAACAAATAATTAACGATAATATCTAAGAAAAGAAGATATGGCTTGACATTGTAAATAGTAATTGAGAAGATAAATTTGGGACAAAGGGAGTATACTGTTATTTTCTTAAACCTCGTTATTTAAATAGCTATAATTTTTGACCAAGTATATTTGAAGATAGTACGAGTATTTACTTGTGGTAGCTCTTCCATTTGAAATTAAGTGAGATTAACGTAACTCTTGTACTGACATCTAGATACTTGGAGAAAGGACGTCAATGTTGAAGACATCGCAGATGCTATAAATAGCATAACACCTGGCATGATAAGGGTAGTTTCTGTAACTAAGGTACTCCAACCTCCATTTAGCTTGTTGTATCGTCTTCTTGCAAAATATGTGGAGGAAGCAAATCGCCATGTATTAGTATTAATAATTTAAAAGAACTTCATTTAGTATTTCATATCATTTTGTTCCGAAAAAGTTAAACTTAATGTCTAATTTGTTATAGGTCTCAAGAGAATTCCATCCTAATTTTTCTGCCAAATGGAGGCAATACATGTACATTTTTCCTTTAGAGCAAGTGCAGGGCTGCCAACATATAGAGGATGTTGCAGATAAATATTGCTATGATTCTTCTAATCAACTGAATCAATGTACTGAAAATCTCATTGAAGGATATGCAATTGGTAATTCCAAGGAGGACGTGGTTCCTGGCAACAAACCTATTAGGTTTGAAGTAAGCAAGGTTAACCACTTACTGCGCCAACTAGAAGGAAAGCTTTTGTCGTACAAAATGTTTGCACGAGATACGAAACCTTCAAGGAACATGTAAAATTCCAAAAAACTCAATAGAATATATTAATGCAATCTTAGCTCAATGATTGTCTAATATAATTGATATATGTCAGGAGTCACACGCAAACACATATATACTTGTCAGCACACTGACACACATGTATGCAGTTATTTTCTATAAATTAGTGTTGTCTATATCATAAACAGATAAACTATCTAATTGCATTCATAGGCCTCAATGGTTGTCCACTATGATTGACTCACACTTAACCCCCCCCCCCCCCCACACCCCCACACATTTTGTGTGTGTGTGTGTGACACTTTATACATTTGATGTATAGCTCTTTAAATGCAATCAGAATGAGACATATCCAGGTTATACCTCTGAATTCCACAGTTTACTGTGGCACGTTTCATTGTAAGATATACTTTGAATGCACTTTTATTGGATCATCAGATATTTAAACCAGGCCAAGCACAGAAACTTATCTTAATTTGTTCTGCAGTGGTCCACCTACAGAGTGCTTTGTCTACCATGCCCGAGCTATTGAGGTCTTATTACCAAGTGCAAAGGTCGGTCAGTTTTGTTTTACTTTACATTTAATGAATTGAAGTTGTATTGCCATCTATGTCAGAGTTGTGTGTTGTTTGGCTGATAGACTCATCCTAGGCTTCTTATACTGCTTGATGAAGAGTGACATACTAATTATATCTTACTTCTGGATTCATGAAGAATCAAGCATGCTGAAACATTATTTTGTATTAAAATTGTCAAAAATGTTATTATTTCTTTCTTTCAACTTTTAATATTTTATTTTTCAAAAGAGTCAGTTCAAATAATTTCGTTGTGCAGAATATATCAATGTTGAGGTTATAAATGTTGTATGTTTTGGTAAAAAAAAGTTCCTTTTGAGACTTCCTAAATAATTAATCCAAATGTCTTCTATAGCTTCTCCAGTTGCTATGTCTCTTTCAACTGGCTATCTGATTCTTTTTCTGGACACCATATTTTCTGGAAAGTTGGCCAATGTAGTTTCTTCAGAAAATATTGCTAGTATGACGACTATGCCAGCTTTATACTTTTGTTAGTCTAATGGCCATGGATTACTATCTCTAATATTTTGAATTAAAATGCAGGATGGGAAGCATACACAGACGATGTGCATTGAGTTGGTTGCCAATCGCTTTTTACGTAAGGTTAGACGACATCTTTCATCTTTGTTGATTATGCTGCACAAAGCCTTACATATTTAATTACCTTTAGGGCGTGCTTGGTTTGGGTTATCTCAGATAACCTTATGCTTTAAGATTACTTTTCGAAGGGAATGTAGGATTATGGGAATGTTTGATAGCCTAATGTGTTTTGTCGTCTGTGAGAATGTATTATGAACTTATTTGGTTGAAGGTTATATTCCAGAATATGGTAGTTAGTTACTAAAACCCTCACATTGAAATATATACACTTAACCAAAATCCTGCTGGCCTCACTTTAGTGCAACTTCAATCTAGGAATTAACCAATCTAGAAGGGCCATCAGCGCATGGCCACATGGCGTTCTGGATTTCTGGTGTTGACGTGTAGGGAGCGTGAATGACCAGAAAAATACAGCAAATATGAGTTAGTCGATGTCATAAAAAGCCTTATCGGACTGAAGAAGTTTGCATAAGCGACCGTAAATTGCAAATTCAACAGCAGGCACCACGGGATTTTGGGATAGGGGTCGCGGAGAGGAAAGTAAAGCTTGGTGTTGGTAGATTATACAATAAGACCTGGAGGTGGGTAGATTAGGAAATTTGGATACATTAGGCAGGAAAGTGGCTGTAAAATATGGAGGACGAATCCAGGTCCTCACCAGTGGCTCTAATACCATTTGAAAAGATTAAGATGAATTTTTTTCTTATGTCTTTATTTGTACTAAATGAGCCATATTTATAGCAAATCACAAAAATGATGAGCTAATAGATGACAAGCTAAGTTATGATCACGTGCTTTCTAGGAGCTTTTACATATGTTTAGCTGGTGATGAAGTTATACTTTCTAGAGATCATTTCATGCTTCTACATGCTCCTTCAACATCTGTTAGTGCTTCTTACGTTTCATGTGTCCCTAATACCAATACTCTGACTATTAATTCTCGTGCTTGGTGATCTGCGTGTGTTTAATACTCTTTCTTATACGTCCTTGCATGCTATTAGAACAAGCTTTTAGTCTATATTTTTCCTCGTATTCTTCATCATGTACCATCTACCCCAACAACCCAGTATAATCCCAAATTTGTTGGGGTCTGGCGGGTTATCATGTATGCAGTCTTAATCCTGCAAAACAGAGAGGTTGCTTCTGTAAGAGGTTAGATGCATTATTGCATTTACTTCCCTAAACTTCATTAGAAAGTGAGAAGCAAAGGATGTTTAATGTGCCATTTGAATAGTCCCAAGGTTGTTAAAATCACAAGTTGACGTAAGATCGTCCGATTATGCAAGCAGGGAAGGGTGGACCAAGATCTTCAATTTATGGTCTACTAAAACAATTGTCGGACTCTTTAAGCTCCATTGGCAGTGGACGAACATCATGTACAATCTAGAAATGAAAATATTATCTTCATCATTCACCATCTTCTGTAACGATCAGAGTTACTTGGTTGGGATCTCTTGATTTACTTGGTTGGGATCTCTTGACTATTCTAGATTTACTTGGTTGGGATCTCTTGATGAAACAACGATCAGAGTTGTTTAAAATATTCCCGCATCTTTGTGCTCAGAATTAGCGAAATCTATCCGTGTTTTTCAAAGTGACAGTTCATACGTGTCCACTCCTTAACAAAATATAGTAGCTGATCTTTAGAACCGGTCTCTTGTTGAAATAAGCCTACATTAGTGATTTAGTGCTACACAGCACTCACATTTCTCGCTTGGTAAACCAAATATCTTAATGCTTCTGCTTATGAATGTGGAAATATGCATATGCCAGCTTTTGTTTGGTCATTTCTTATAATAGAGTTTCGTTTATTTGGTAGATGGTTAGGGTTCTGGTGTCAACGGTGATAAGGGAAGCAGTTGCTGGCGCAGATGAGGATGCATTACTGAAGCTGATGGATGCCACTTGCAGGCGTGCCACTGCTCCACCGGCGCCACCAGATGGCCTTTGCCTTGTAAACGTCGGTTATGAGGAGTTCGACCGCAAAAGATGTCTAATCCCCTGATGATGAGACCAGTGTAACACTGGCTACAGAGCACTTCTGCCCGCATTGCAACACTTCTCTTTTAACAGTTCCAACTCTTTGATCATTTCTCTTTGTTCATCATTTTTGCTACCACATCAAAGATTTACTCTTACTTTCTGGGAAACATTTATCATTGAGACGTTTGTTAGCGTTACTAGTCACAGCACACTATAGTGCACATTGTGCCGTAGTGGCTTGAATATTGCCCACGCCGGCTCCCCACCTAAGTTAGGGTTTGCTTTTGATTGATTTTGGTGTGGTTAGATTATGTTCTGATCTTATTTGATTGTAGTTTTATTTAAAGCTGATCTAATTTGATTCTAATAAGAATAAGTAATACGTAAAAGTATAAGTTGAAAAGAACAAGCTTTTAGTCATGGTGTACCCTAGCCTCATTTGGACGCACAAAGGTTGTTAAATTGAGATTCAACTCATGAATCCTAAGACCCATTTTCTGAATCACAAATCGTATTGTATTATGAATTATAATAATATATTACATCTGCCCCAAAGTAAAAAAAAATGGTCTTGATGATTGATTGAATCTAATTTAAAATTGGTGTAGAAATAAAAAATAAAAATAATATATTTGAAAGTTGAATCAAAAGTTTTAACGAATGAGAGATGACATGGTTATATTATTTAGGTAATTATCGATAAAAATAAGTAAATATTAAATATTACTTTAGCACCGTGAATAGGAATTTTGTCTTTTATTTTGGGATGGAGAGCGGTTTATTTTGGTAAAAATAGCTGACATTAACAAATAAAATTAAGTTGAAACATCACACTTCCTTTATCCTAAATTTTTTTTCTTAGTTACTAATCACTTGGTCAAATTCTAATTACTTTCTTATTTTTGTTAGCCATTTGATGAAATAATGTAATCTTTAGAGCTTTATATGAGAAGCTAATCACATGGTCATTTTTCTTCAGAGCTTTAAGTGTAGTTTTTAGATATAAACTCCCTCCATCCTAATTCTTTCTTCCCAGTTTGACTTTTCCCCATTTTTAATTTTTGGCTTTGACTTCAAATTTTACCCTCCTAAAAAAAGATTTTTTGAATTTTTTTTGCAATCATTCAAAATATAGAGTTAGAAGATAATTGGTGTAAATACATGAGGGTATTAATGTCATTTGTCATCTTTTTTATAATGGGAAGGTAGTTTTAGGACGAGGAAAAAGGGGAAGTGTGAAGAAAGTTTTAGGACGGAGGGAGTAATTTTTTTAATAAAATTTTACACATAATCAAATAATTGAATTTGAAATAACCTCAATCAAATCTTGTAAACCGAAACGAGAAAAATGTTTTAGGACCGATGAAGTATAAGATGTGCGAAGGTCGATATGTTTTCCAACCTGGTATTGTCGAATAAGGCATATTCCAACTCACCCGTTTATCTCCCAGATAAGTGCCTTTGTGAACCACCCTCATCATGTACCCTATTGAAATATAGAGGACACGGGCCGGATTCGAGCAAAATCTTATCACTTGGAGTAGATCTAGCAAAAACTTACCCAACTTATTTTGATCCAAGACCCGCTCAAAAAATACTAAGTTTTGAATAAAAGTTTTGTTGACCAAATCTGAAGATGACTTGCTAAAGGTTGGTCGAATCTGTAAGTTCGTGGGGGCGCAGCGGAAATCACCAATTAAGAGCTATGCAAACAAATCATCAAACTATGCTGCAGAGAAGACGCTGCATCACTGTCACAGTAACAGACGACGGACAGTGTGCTATAACACTTCTAGCTCTGTCACAAGCACGCACACAGAAGCAGATGATGCAGAGAGCGTTACAGCGTCTACTGGGCAGAATGTTGTAACTATAAAATGCGTAAAAAATGACACCAGATATGTTTACGCAGTTCGAAACAAATTCTCCTAATCTGCGGGGCCCACGTCCGTGTAATAGCCCTCCACTAAATCACTAGATGCAAGTTACACCAGTACATAACAACATGATGAGACACAGTTCTCCGAATTGCTATGGCAAAACTTCTAATCTAGGATTTCTAACCCGTACCCTGTACAGATCGCTTTGGCTATCACATCTCCACCAAGATCACGAGGACAAACGTGTTAGCAGCCCACTCGTTCAGCTCTTGTTCATCTCCTGGACGTCACGATCTGTTTGGCGTTGAAGATCTCCTCCTTCATGTAGATTGTAACCTTCTTCACGCATAGGAAGCTCCGGGACGGGACGGGAACGCTCTACATCAGCGTATATTCTTTATTTTCCCTCTCGATCGCTCCAAGTAATTCCCAGGGAGCTGCTGCGTTTTTATAGGCTTCTCTTGACACAATCCTAGTAGGACTAGGTTAGTAGAAGTTGGCTTGAACTCAACTTCCTTAATCTTGATCCACAAGTAGCCTAAAGAGTTGGGATTCCTTAGCATGTAGAGCTGGAGTTATTATCATGTAATCACAATCCCAAAAGGTCTCTAATTCAGATTGCAGCTTAAAATCTCGTGCTCAGACCTCTGATCCCGAACAGTGTGTTGCAGCAATGTGTTGTAGCATCTTCTGTGTCAACCTCGAAATCTGCAGCAACTCTAGAAGTCTAAATAAAATAAAACTCTCCTAACAAATAGAGGTTTCTACATAGTAAAATACCTAACAAATATGAGTTTCTATTTTGCCAAAAGATTAGGCAACACCATGGAACTAACAGAATCCGACCAAATCACCTGCGCGCTAGTGTATGTGCTTTTCAAAATCATGCACTTTAATATAAAACTAATGTATTCCCTCCGTCCCAATTTATAGTGCTTGTTTCGATTTACGATGTTTGACTGGAATTATTTTCAAATAACTTTATATGACAAATAGTATAGAGTTAAAAAATAAAAATTACATATTAAAATACTACATCAAAAGATCTACAAAACTAGTAGTGACAATAGTACTTTATTTTATCAAATTACTAATGAAAATAGAGAAAGAAAGTGTATTAAGTTTGACCTTGTGAATAGTGAATAGGCATTATAATTTGGGACGGGGGAGTAATAAAAATAAGGTTATATTTTTATTTTTTCTTATTCCTCATTTTTAGTGTAATAACTTGTATTTTGAAACAAATTTTCGATATTTTATGTTTTAGTATAAAATGCCGGTGCTAGAATTAATTTATATATTTTATAAATAGATCTCATAATGCGTTGGATTACCCAAATTCGATGATACTGAGTTATAAAAATGTAATTCACAACCTGAACCCAAACTTACTTGAATCCGATGTAACTCAAACTCAAAGTGACCGAATCCGAACCGAACCTAACCGGTTTGTCAGTTGTAAAAAATGAAATCTAAACTTTGGTTTTACACTATGTAGGTTAGAGACTTACTTTTGTAGAGAACTCCAACCACATCCATGGCCCAGAGTCGGTCTCGAAAAATGAAAAAATGAAATTGCCCTGACCGAAATTTACATTTTGGGCCCTGTTTTATTATTTTAGGATATTAACACTTCAAAATTAAAGATGAATTTAATAATATGGGGCATGAAATATCAAGGGCCCTGTGCGGTTGGCTACTTTGCACACCCTCCGGGCCACCCACTATTTTTCCTACTCTCTCTCCCTAGTTTCTCTTTCCGTCCATTGCCGCTGAGTATTTTTATTTAGTTTTACATCTTAATTACTACTAATGTTATACTCCCTCCATCTCAATGCAATCAACATCTCATGTTATTGTTTACGAGGTTTGACTGAATTTGTTATACAATTAAAAGATAAAATCTACGGAGTATATATTTAAAATTTTAATCAAAAGACAAAACTAGGTTTCTATTTTATCAAACGAATAGCAAAAATGTGTAGAGAAAGTGGTTGAAGATTCACCATGTAGATAGTAAACATTCAATTTAAACTGAAACCAAAGATAAGTACGGAGTATTACGTAATGGGCAATTTCTTACATGCTCTAAAGCTCATGCTTATTACATAGATCTTAATGTATTGATAACACAAAAGAATTATACCTTTTTCTAAAAAAAAGATTCATTTGTCAGTACATGAAAAATGTGAGGTCCTGTGCTTTTTATAGAACTTAGTTCATTGATAATACTCGCATAAAAGAATTGGACTTTTTGGTGAAAAAGAAAAGATTCACTTGTCAGCCTTTGAAAATTGTGAAAAGATTTTGTTTTTTATTGACCTCAGTTTATTGTTAACATAAAAGAATTAAATTTTTTGCGAAAAAAAAACGTTCACTTGTCAATCCATGAAAAGTGGGAAAATGTACATGATGATCTTGCAGTGCAACACAAATGTGATTGGACTAGTATATTTAGAATGGGTAGTTTTCTGCAATATATTTGGATCTCATTTATCCAAAAGCAACCCAATGTGCTTTATAAAGATTCAAAGCCCAAACACAAACCCACTACTATACTAATCAAGAATTTAAAAACGACAAACAAAAAGTTTCGTTCTTCACTATAATCTTTTATTTTCACTCTTATTCTAAAAAGAAAAAAAAAACTTCCAAAAATGTTCCAACAACAACACTTATTTCAAATGTTGTGCCTCCCAACTCTATTACAGATGGAAAAAAAAAGCATTCATTAAACATACATGCCAGGTATCTACCCAAGAATAGAAATCTAGCCACAAGTATCATGATGTGTTGTCTACTTCTTTGGTTAACAATGAGTGAGACTCATCAGCAGCAGCACTGATGACAACACATTCTCCATTATCCCTCTCGTTGACATCCTCAATCCTCTCCACAGCCTCCTTCACATCCCATCTCCTATCCACATCCACCTCACAACACCTCAGCCCTATTCTCAGCAGCTTCAGCATCTGCCCTTCACTCTGCTCTGTCATCCCTCTCATCATGTCCTTGTCAAACACCTCCGCGGTTGACCCCTCGGGTGCCACCGACCGGACCCAGCCGGCTAAATCTGCTGCCTCCCCTTGTTGCAGGAACCCTGATGGGAGTTTCCCTGTTAGGGTTTCGACGATGAGCACTCCGAGGGCCCACACGTCGGTTTTCTTGGATATCCGGCCACTCTGCTGGTACTCTGGCGACTTGTACGCGATCATGTGCTCTTGCGCATGCTCTATGGTGACAACCGGCAGCAGGCCATAGTCGTTCAGGAGTGGGTCGAAAGATGAGTTGAGGAGGACGTTTGAAGACTTGAGGTGACCATGGGGTGAAATTAGGTCCGGAAGCTCTTCGTATAGATACATTAGGCCTCTTGCTACTCCTTTCACTATTTTCAACCGCATTGGCCAGTCAAGACTTCCACTCCCGCCACATTTGTTCCCTATCAACAAATTCATGCCATGTCATGTAAATTACTAAACTTCTTATCTTTTTAGGGTTAATATGATTTCTACTAAAGGAGGGAGTATCTTGTAGTAGAACTCATTTAATTAGGAAAACATACCATGGAGATGAACAGCCAAGCTGACATTTGGGACGTAGTCAGCAATCAAGAGCTTCTCTTCTTTCCTATAGTAGAAAGCCCAAAGTGAGAGCAAATTGTTGTGGCTTAACAATCCCAACCTCCTCATGTGCTCATAGAACTCTTCTTTCCCCACATTGTTCATTTCCTTAAACCTCTTCACAACCAACACCGGCCCCTCGTTCAGTGCCGCCTTGTACGTTGACCCAAACACCCCACTCCCCAATATTTCTGCTGATGCCTTCAGAAGTGACGCCAAATCAAATCTCTCCCTGTTAATGATGATCAAAAGATAGATAACTATCATTTGCATTTTTTCACTTCATAAAAAAGCAAATAAAATATTGATCCCGTTGCAGAAGAACTCTCATTTCCTTTGCCTCCATAAAGCACATTAGTTGAGGATCAATTAAATTGTAAAAATTCATCAACTAGCTCAGGTCTCTCATAGTGTTTTATACTTCCTCCCTCCCGGTGTATTTGTCCAATATTCGTTTTTGAGCCGTCCCCATATAGTATATAGTTAGTACATTAGACGACGAGTTAAATAGTAAGAGGAACTATGTCTCAAGAGTGCCTTACACAGTTATACCTATATACTTCTGCCCTCAATACAACTTTAGCCCCACATGGCACCCAAATATTGTGACTAGAAGCAGCAAGGCAATTACAAGAATAACGGCGACCCTGATATTTTGGAGGTGTGTTCTAAAGTGAATATTTTGTCATACTTAGAGTAATAATAAACTCTATATAATAAAGGATTTCCTATTCCAATAAATAATACTCCATTTTCAAAACCAATAGTACTCCATAATATGCATTTTGAAATTCTAATTCTAGGAGTCATACTTAGTTGAAGAAAATAATATAATTGGTAATCAGATGACAGAGATTAGGACACAGGAACACTATTGTGAGCACTAGTTTTTTATATGGGCTTGAACATTATTTCACATTTGAGCTATAGAATTTGGAGACCTCATGATTTTGGAAGTATTCTGCAACAGATAAAAAATTGAAGGAACATACGCTTCTCAAACTCCTTCACACAAAACTAGTTCTATTTTGATTGCAGCTATTTTATTTTAATTCATTTTAGTGTAAAATTAAAATACCCTGAAATACAAAATTTATATTTCCTCCATCCCAAAAAGAACTTCAGTGTTTGACTTTACGGAGTTTAAGAAAAATGTTGAAAACTATGAAAAGTGAAAAGTGTGTGAGCAAAATTTGTGTAGAAGAGAGATTTTGTAGGCCGCGTATTTCTTATCTTTTAAGGAAAAAGTAGAAATGTGAAGTTTTTTTGAAACATTCAAATAAGGAATGTCTGAAGTTTTTTGCTAGACGAAGGGAGTATAATTTAAAAAACTACATGAAAACCTCTATAAAACAAGGGGTGTCTTGACTATTTATTATAACAAATGAGTAAAAAATGAGTAAAGAAAATATACTCCGTAGTAAAGAAAAAACATATGGTTTGACTCTATGAATCGTAGACGAGACCAGTATTATGAAACCACGGAAGCGAGGAATATTAAGAAACATGACGCTTCTTATCAAACATATAAGGTATTTTTTGGGTGCAAGTTAAATTTAAAAACATAAAAGCTAAACGTTAAACCTAAAAAATAGTTAATCAATATTTTGAACAGTTTGTTTATAAAACATGATGAGAAATTGAAAGGAAAGTTTTACTGAGCAGTGATTTGACTGACTATGTTGTATAGAGCAGAGAGCTGATAATGAAGAACACTTGCATGCACAAAATCCATGTAGCAGAGACCCATGTGCTGAAAATCTGAGTAGCAGAGATGAAAATGTTGAGGATGTGTGGTCATGCTAGGATGGATAGAGTTCAGAACAAGGATATCCCAGCCAAGGAGTGTGTGGCATCTTGGTGGAGTATAAAATGGTTTGGACACATGATGTAGAGAAGAACTGAAGTAGTAGTAAGGAACGCGAGAGATGGAGGTAGGGAAGTTGAGGGTTTGAGGTAGACAAAAGAAGTATTGAAGCAAAGTAATTAGGAAGGACTGTGACTTCGAGAGTTGACCCTATATACGAGGGTTTGTCAGTCTTGAATTAGAGTTGTAGGGTAGGCTCAAATACGAGGTTCACTTTGTGTGTAAGGCTTTATCGGTTTGTAGTCATGTTTTGGTGTCCATTTTTTTCTGTGGAGTTGTCCTAACCTTTGTTTGAGCCACGGGTCTTTCAGAAAAAACTCTACCTTTTGAGGTAGGGGTAATTTCGATAACCCACCCTCCCCATACCCCATTAGTCGGATTTTACTAGGTTGTTGATTAGAAAATACACATAGCAACTTTTGTTCTATAAAAAGACCTTGGCAAAAGTAGTCATAAATTTGAAATTTGGCAATTTTAGTCATTTTTATGGGAAATTGTGTTTTGTTCGTGTGTCACCCACTCACCCTCATTCACATAACTGAACTAATTTAATAGCTAAGTTGAATGAATTATTTGTAAAATAATTAATAAATCGGTCATTACTCTCACAAAGCAGTCAATAATCGGTTGCATTATATTTTTATAAGATTGTTTTGTTTGAACTTGTTATTGTTCATAATTTTATATCTGCAAATTGTTTATCTTGTAGTATCATATGATTTGGCTTATAATGAATCGTTACTACTGATGTTTTCAAAAGCAATAGGCCTCCTATAAACTTTAGAATAGGACCTAACGCCTAAGCACTTGGGAAGAACTAATTAAGCCTAGATCTTATGTACGAATAAATCTTGAACAAAAGGACGTGAACGAAGGGGCCTTTGTGGAGTTAAATAGGGGACTTTGAAAACAGTTACTAACACAACAATACATTAGTCAAATTCATGGTGCGTCCCTAAATTAGTTAAATAAACTCTTTTCGAAATGCATGAAATTTCATCTAAAAAACCTACTCCCTCCGTCCTGAAACTATCTTCCCACTTCCTCATTTTCATTGTCCTAAAACTACCTTCCCGCATCCTAAAAAAGGGTGTGAAATGACTATCTTACCCTTCCACTATCTTACATTCTTACCCTTCTCTCCCCCTCTTCTCTTCGTCCCTCTCTCACTGGTCTCCCCCCTCTTCTCTTCGTCCCTCTCTCACTGGTGGTATGTTTTTTCTCTTTTTCTCTTCCTTCCCGATCCGATCGTGGATCTACCTTCTCTTTTTCTCTTTTTTTCTCTTCTTCTCTTTTTCTCTTCCTTCCCGGAGCCAACTCTTCCTCCCTTTTTCTCTTCCTTCCCCGATCCGATTGTGGATCTAATTTTTCCGCCCAACTTCAATGGTCAGATTTATTTTCCGGTCAGATTTGTTTCTTTGCTGGATTGATTGTGCATAACTTTAATCGGTCAGATCTAATCTTTTCCGTCCAAGTTCTCCCCAATCCGATTGCAGATCTAATCCGATCAGATTTGTTTAGCTGGCTCCGATCGTCCGCCGTCACCATTCCAGTCGCTGGTGCCACCGCCGGCGTCACCAACCTCCATCGACCTCTCCATGTGTTGCTATGCGGAAATCAAAAGAAGATTTGTTTCTTGAGATCTGATTTTAATTGAAGAAAAAGAAGAGCTTTGGTAATTTTTTTTAAACTTTTGAAGTGGTTGTTTGAATTTGGTTAAATTATGGCATGAATTGTCTCTGCCGACTCACTCAATTGCCGCCGACTCATTCAATCGTCTCTGCCGGAAGAAGCACCAACACCTTAGAGCCAAAAATCTCAGTAAGTTCTGTGGGAAGGAGGGGTATTTTTGGAAGTCAAAGCCATAATTATCCATCCCTTAAAAATGACCTTTAGTCAAAGTGGGAAGATCAATATAGGACGGAGGGAGTATTAAATAAATACGTAGGTAAGGCCTTACATACCTGTCATCTCTCAAAAATGTTAGCCTAAGACTATGGTCTCCCTTTTGAGAAAAATTTTCTGAAGAATAGGTGGAAGCTTGATCAAATTTGTCTAAATCAACGGATGCCATTCTGCGGTGACTTGACGGTACTATTAAGCCTTCTTCCAACTCCACAGGCTTGCGCTGACGGAGAATGAATATGACCACCACAATGGCAAACACCGCTGCTCCAATAACCAGTCCAGCAATGATTAAAGTTGCCATTGAAAGCTGGGGATTAAGGATACACGGATTTAACGGCTCTCCACAAAGGCCATAATTTCCTGTTATTTGAAAAATTAGAACACAAACCAAAAGTACAATTATTCAAATCAATGCCTAAAACATGATGAGATGTTTCATTACCTATATGAGAAAAGTCAGCCTTATCATGTGAAAGTCTTTAGTATCTGTTGGAAAATGGTCTAAAATGAATTGATTTAAACAAATCACTCTTACCTTATGAATAATTCTATATTTAAAAAAATAAAAACTACTAAGCTTATGAACATGGATGAATGTTAGAGCTCAAATACTGTAATCTTTTCTCTCCCCTTCAACTATTTTCTGTTTGACTTCTTTTTGTCCCCTTCTAGTAATCTCTTTTATTCTAGTGGCTTATCACTAACACTTTGTTTGGTTGAGAAGAAAGAATGGTGAGAAAGGAAGTGGATGGGAGGAAAGGAAAGAAAGGAATTTGGGTGGAGTTAAAATTTCTATACGCGAGTTTAGATGTAAAGAAAATGATAAGGAAGGAATAAAAACAAAGCTTAAATTTTGTGCTTTGTTAGGATAAAAACAAAGCTTAGAGGTAAGGTGGTACGCACACCCTCCCCAACCCCTATCCCTCATGGGATTCTACTAGGTTGTTGATGTTTAGATAGAAAAGTGAAAGGAAAGGAAAACTAGTTAGAAGCAAATGACAACCTTTTCCTTATATCGTAAAACTGACATCACATGTTAAGGGTAATTTTGGAAATGAAAACTTTTGGCCACATCCTTGCACATTTCCTGTCCAAGGGGTGCATTTTCTTATGTGCCCAATGTATAATCTTGAACTATTTGAATATTCTTTCAATAGTTCTCCATCTAACCAAAGTATGGAAAACAATCATAACTCTTCTAATTTTCTTCATTTCCCTTCTTTTCCTTATATTTTCCTCTCAAACAAACAAAGCCTAAGTGTTCGCTTCTTTATACACTGGTCCTAAACTTCCAGTCAATGTCACTGCTACCATCGTTATTCAGAATTTTTTGTCGGATTCTTGGTTCTTCATCCAAGCATTTAGTTCTTTGATCTAGTCTGTTCTTATCAGCATTAGTTCTTCAGCGAAAAAGTCTGGTTATGCCATCATAAAAATGAACATATTTTAGAAACATAAATCACTCCTTTCGAATGTAAATTCTTTTTATTCTTCCACAAAATGCCTAAATCCTTGAATTGTGATAGCTGGACATTACCTGACCGAGTTCGTTTTGAACCATCTTGACTACCCTGGCCCAGAGCCTCTATTATTTTAAGCTCTCCCTGGCTTGGTGTCTAGCACCATGTTGTTTAGGCAGGGTACTTTGAGGCTTGAAATTGATGACGGCTGGGGGATCAACATAGTGGCGCGAAACGATATTCTTCTTTAATTTGTGCGGTATCTTATGGAATAGATATAATTAAATTTATCAAGAAACCCTAGTCGTCTTTGTGTTTCCGAGATCAACATAGAGGCGCAAAAAAGGATTGTCTTCTTCGCACCATCTTCGTCTTTGTTTTTCGTCTGAAACCAGGAGCACTTTGTCCTCTGTCGCCTGGATAGTCGCAGAAGGCAGAGCGATTCATCTCCATCCTTCGGTCTTCATTTCGCCCGTCTACAACCGTCGTCCGCAACTTATTACGTACAACAAGCTATATGGTAGTGTTTCCCGAAAGGAGCTGCATAGGAAGAGTTGTCGAAGTCTGAGATCCCCTTCGATGGAGATGAAGAAGAGTGGAGCTTGGCTGGAAAAGCTGGATGAAGGAAATGCTTCCGGAAGTTCCGGTCGGCCATCCCCTTCGATCTTCCATGGGATGGGGATGAAGAAGGAAAGAGGCGTGACCTTCTTCCCAGGTCAGAGGAGAGGATGATGAAGATATGAATTTGGATAATTTTAATGAACATTACTCCTCTACTCCCTCTCTCAAATAGGGCTGGGTTGGGAAAACCGAAAACCGAAAACTGAATCAAAACCGATCGAAACGAGCTTGGAAAAAAAACCGAACCGAAAAAATCGAAACCGAATGTAAAAAAACCGAACCGAATCGTTAGTGTTTGGTTCCATTTTGGTTTTGACTTTGAAAAACCGAACCGAACCGAATAAACCGAACTTTCTTAGATACTTCGCTTTTTTTATATAAATATATGTGATATGTAGAAAAATAATAGAAATATAAATGCAAATAAATTACTAGTCGATTAAAATTATTTTCTTAACTATTAATTAAACATTTTAGCCATACTATTATAAACTTTTAAAAAATCTAAGAATATAAACACCAATAGCTAATCCAAATATAGAATTATATTAACATTAACTAAATGATACGAGTAATTTCCATATTTACATAAAAAAATACTTTGATGTTATAATGAAAATGAAAGTATTATACCAAAAAACACAAGTTCTTCGTAATTAATTTTACATACGATGTCTTTGGAAGTATTTAGAATCTCCTAAATGTTTGTTGGATACTTAACACATATTTTTTATGTAAAATTGAACCGAATGATACAATAACCTTCTGTTTGATTTTTGTTTTTGTGTAAAACTCAAACCGAAAAACCAAACCTAACACAACATATTGTTATTGCTCCATCGAGTTAGTGTTTTTACAATTTTTTAATGCTTATAAATTTCTACTTTTATAAACTGAAAAAACTGAAAAAAACCGAAATAAAAACCGTATAAAACCGAACCGAATAACCAACGGTTTACATATTTTTTATGCAAAACCGAACCGAACCGAACCGCCAATTTACCTTCCGTTTTGTCTTTGGTTTTGGGTGAAAACCAAACCGCAAAAACCGAACCCACCCCTACTCTCAAATCATAATTTCCCTATTCCAAATTTCTAATGTATGGCTCTCTTCGTTTGGTTACAATTTCAAAGTTAGATGTCAGAAAAAAAAGAATTAGAAAAAGTTAGGAAAAGATGAAAAAATCTGGAAAGAGTTGAAATAAAGAGAAAGAAGTTAAAAAATGTTGGAAAGAGTTGAAAAATGTGGGAAAATATCAAGGAATTGTCAGTCACATTAGCACAAATTATAATAATACTCTATAGAATAGAGGGAAGAGTATTATGGAAATCAAAGAAGGGAGAAGATAATATCTTGCAGGATTGAGTATTTTCACGCTCTTTATGTTTTTCTCTTCTAGGTTCTAAATGGGAAACTGAGAGTTAGAGTTTGCAAATGGGATACTAACCAAGTGCCCAAGCATGTCCATATTATTTTGTCGGTTAGGCCGGTCCGTTTGGATTCATATAAGTGTCCATATCTACTCATTTTTAAGTGCAGGATGGGAGAGTCAAACGGGCCAATCCAATTTTGTGCATGTATAATTCTAAGGAAGATTATGATAAAAAATCTCAGTTTGTAATTTCACTTTGATATTCATTAATAAAGCTTTATCAATTTTTACATAATTTATTCGAGTAATTTTTTGAAGTCAATAATGTTAATATGATGTAGGATCTTAGGCTTCGTGGTATGAGGAAGAAATTAAGAGGGTTGATGTGTGATGATTGGATATAAATAATATGATGTGGAGTGATGAAAAATGTGTGGTATGGTGGAATTGATTGGGAGTTATGCATGTGGAGATGTATTATGTTTTGATTATTCAAAATTTTAAAAACATAGAAAACAAAACCATCCCGCTTCACATGGTTAATATGGTCACCCGAGTGGGGTCACGCCCCACCGGCACGGTGTCACCCCAGTTGTGCCCGCCATGTCACCCTCACCCCCTTGGTCACTCTCAATAGCTCATACACTTAAAATGTACTCCAAAAATTTAAAAAGTAATCTTTAATTATTATTAAAAAAGTACAATACCTTGGAATGAACAAGCACTGAAATGGGAAAGGGTTGGTGGAATTTCACCCTCAAGAGCGTTATTTGAGAAATTCACAAACACCAAATTTGGCAGATTCAAAAATGGTATTTTCCCATCAAAGGAATTATTCTCGAGTCTCAATTCCAGGAGCCTCTTGGCCACGACCAATGAGCCAGGAATGGGGCCTGCAAATTGGTTGTTTGAAAGATAGAGCTTTTTCAATGAACGCATTCCAGAAAAGAAACTGTCCGCAATCTCTCCAGAGAATCTGTTATTGGAGAGTTTGAGGTTTTTCAAGGTTCCAAGTCTATAAAAGGCCGGAAGGTCTCCTTCAAAGCTGTTATTCATTGCACTGAAACTTCTAATGGCGGGCAACTCTGCTAGGGTGTCGACATCGATTGCACCACTAAGCCCTTTGTTGTTCAAATTAATGCCATGAACATTTCCACTCACACAAACAATGCCTTCCCAATTGGCACGCCACCCCATACATGGTGGAAGAGCTGAGGTCCACGTGGGGAGCACGGAGGCGGAGTTATCCAATGACTCCCTGAATTGTAGAAGGATCTCCGTCTCCGTTCTGCTTTGGCATCCAATAAAATATAGATGGAGAAGGAATACAATGACGACGAGTAATTGCATTGGTCGACCAAATATAGAAACACAATATTGCAATTGTGCCATGGTTTACCTCTAGTATATATGTAGTTGTGCGCGCACTTTGGGAAAAAGTGCGCGCCCTTTAGGAAGGGCTCCAACGACGTGAAAGACAGAATTCTAAATATTGTGTCCCCGATATATGATCAAAAGGAAGAAAAGAGAAAATAGTGTACGTTTTAGGGGAGAGGAGGGAAATAAGGTTGTGACACAGAGAATTGGAGGACAGATTATAATAAGCTGTGGATTAAGAAATGGACAAATGGGTAGAGGGGAATGAAGCAAACATAGTCCTCTTGTTTTACCTTGTTAATTTTTCATATATATATGAGAAGCTTAAGGATGACCATTCAACTAGTTTATAATTTTTTGCGAATAACGCACAATCCAATTAATTACATACCATTTTTTGTGTTCAATATTGATATAGAGACATGAAACGCATATGCAAGTAGGTTTTACAATACACATTGTGGTAGTTAAAGAACAACAACATAACCTTAGTGCCTCAAAACTTCTCACCCATTGCGGGATTAAGGGGGGTCGGATGTACGCGGTTTGACCCTACCTTTGAAACATAGTGGCTGTTTCCAAATGACTCAGGATGAACGCCAAAAATTATATTGACAAATGCTACTTTACGTTTTTTAGAAGCGCATATAATTTAAAGAGATTTTTTGATTTGTTCTATCACCCAAAGCTAAAAAATAATGAATTTTTAGCTTATATTATCAATTAAATGTAATAAATATAATGATGATATAGTGTTGGAATTTGTTGTGGCATACATATACAACCATACACACATAAGTATTGTACTCCGTAGTATACATGCCATGAAGATCGATCATGGATTAATAAGTATTTTATTGATAATTAGTTACTCAACAAGGTTTGTTATTGGTGAGTTATAACAAGGTTCTTCAGATATGCTGAGAAACTCAGTTGTGCTTAGTGAGCAATCTTTTCCTTTATATATAACATAAACTCTAAGTATACAATATTTGGCGATACTTATATGTTAGTTTTTGACACATCATCTCCAACCATTCACAACAAACTCAAACTTAAAATGTAGTAAATGTCAAATTTAGAGTAATATATTTCATCTCTAACCCAATAAACCAAAATTAAAATAATATTTTCACTTTATATTCTTTTCCTAGTAATTTTATATTTTGAAAATTAAAATATAATACTTATTAATCCATAATCTTCATGGTGTGGCTCTCCTTGGCTAACGAAACGGTGAGGAACGAACTGGGAAGAAATGGATGAGGAAATCGACGGAAGAGAAGGAGAGTGAAAGTGTCGTAACCCCTCCTACTTTTAATATAATATTAATTAGATTTTTGGTCCAATTTACACTTTCTAATCAGTTAGGATAGATTTCAACCCAATTACCTTATTCGACAGTCGTATCTTGGGCTCAGTAAGTCTGATTCTCAATCCGTTTGCACGGTCGGGTTCAGAACAGCGAGCCCTATAACATAGGTCAACTCTCATATTTAATATGCAAATTAGAAAATAATCTTCGTATTGACCAACTCATTAATTAATTAAAAATACTAAGCTGGGTTTCGGGGCGTTACATAATGAGCACAAAGTTTGAAGTATGAACTGTATGGTCATGGTAATGAGTAATTATCATCTGTTGTTGTGATTGTTATGTGTTGACACTAATGTTGAACTTATATGCGTGAAAGTGATAATTGTGAAATAGTGGGTTCTCTTATATGTATATTCGAATGTTAAATATTTCTCATTCAAATTTTTTGCACAGCGTGCACTTGTTATTATTTTGACTCCACCGCGGTAAGATTGATTATTCAAAAAGGTTCTTTCATTTAATTAACATTACTTATTCTAATGATTTATTTCAATAAATCATTTCAAAGTTCTTATCATAAACAAATTCTTTATTTACTCCTCATTTGGGTCTATATTGAGGTTCTCAATTAAGATTACACAATAAGTTAACATATTGGATTTAACTCTAGGAGAGTTATCCAGATTGTGATATTGAATACCAAAACATATTTCATTTCAGCCGGGGATCAAGCTAAGGGAGATATGTAGAGATTCTAAGTTGATTGAAATGGAATATCTCAAGATGGGTGACTCCCCTTTTGGATAACCTCTCAACACTGAAGTATAGAGGGATCAAGCTAAGGGAGATGTGTAGAGATTCTAAGTTGATTGAAATGGAATATCTCATTATTTGAATAATTCACCCCTCTAGAAGAAATAGTTTATTTGTTTGACTTTTGAACTGTTTTCTAAATGAAGTCTGATTTAAAAACCGATTGTGTTTTTTGGATCGGAAAAAATAAGTCAATACAATGATGTGTTCAATATATTATTTCTAGTACTTTTATTTTTCAATTCAATGGGGCCCACACAATCAAAATTAGGTTTTATGTGATTAATTCTTTTAGACTAGTTTTCATGGCGTTACAAACTCTTTCCATTGAGGGGTATGACAAGGCGACAGGCAACTGAAAAGCCGCGCCATTGCACCAACCCTAGCGTTGTTTCTGGTCTTTCGTCATGCTATGCATGATAGAACTTAATTTCACCAAATATATTTATCTCACAATCTCTCTGTAGAATTACTGATTAATAGAGACAAAAGCATTATTGAACTCAAGAAAAGTAAAAAAATATTATTTATTCGTTGGCATTAGAGGACTATTTATAGCTTCATAGGCTTCCTAATCCGATTAGGCCTCTGTAAACAAGATCAATCTCCTTCCAAGTAATTAACTCTAGCAACACCGGCTCCAATCAGACAAACAAACCTTAACCCCAGGCGGGTTGACCCACCAATTGGCTCATGGGCTGGCTTTGGGTATGGGCTCTAATTGTTAAGTGCATGATTTAAATAAATATGTTGGGCTAATTATATAGAAATTTATCTTTTGATCTAGTATACCCATGAACTACATTCAATCTCATTTCTTTTCCTTTTATACTCCCTCAATATAAAAAAGAATCGCATGTTGTTGTTTACGGGGTTTGACTGAAGTGTTTTTTAATGTAATTTAATTGAAATTTGTAAAGAATTAAAAAATAAAATTTATATATTTTAAAAGTATATCAAAAGTTCTACAAAATAAGACGTAACAAGAGTATATTGTTTTTCTCAAATGGGTTACGAAATTGAGTCGAGAACGTGGTGAGAGTTTGAGCGTATGAATAATACATAGGCAATTTGAATTTAGATGGAAGGAATAGTATATAAATACTCCCTTCGTCCCACAAAACCTTTTTTCTTTCTTCTTTCATCCGTCCCGAAAATCTTTTCTCATTTGTATTAAAAAATCATTTTGACCTTTATTAATTTTTAACCAATCTATGAGATCATACTTTTTTCAGTATTAATCTACCTATCATATTTTATTTTTAAATATCACATCCAAAGGGATTTTGGAAAATCAACATCAAAATACACTCTTCCTAAATACTTTTAAAGTCAAAACCAGAAAGGTTTTGTGGGGCAGAGAGATGACTCCATAATTTTGCTCTAAAAAAACATTTAAATATAAGCCCACTTTTTAAAACAACGTAAGCCCACTGTTATTCTTTTTATTGTGCTCTTTTCTATAGGGGTGAGCAAGTATCGAACCGATTCCAAAATTTTCTGAAAAAATCAAGATTACTAAAACAAAAAATACTGATCTAAAAATACCGAAAAAGAACTGTATCGTTCCGAACCAAATAGTCAATCAAGTGTTTGGGATCTATTCGAGTTAACTTCCCACTTCAAAAAATCCCGAACCGAACATATATACAAGTGTTTGGGTACGTATATGTATTCATCCGAATATTTACCAAAACCAAAATTGGACCATCCCGAGTCATAGTGAAACGAATTTTTCAATATATAGTCCAAAGGGAGGCTAAATATTTGGTAATCTTAAGCCCTAACCGTAGTTTACATTGAGCAGAACATAGGCGCCGCTGATCTGACTTCCGGGCATTCGGCACCGGCTCTGCGGCTCACAGCTGCCATGTCGTATAGAGCTTTTCTCGTCCCCTCCACTATCAGTCAAAATAAATACGGTAAGTAATACGGAGTAATCGCAAAACTCGCTGCGGCACCACAACCCATCATCGGATTTACATAAACCTTGTGTTTTATCAGATTTATTGTTTCAGATTTGAGCGTTTTAGGGATATTCATCTGATTAGAGAGAGAGAGAGAGAGAGGAAGGGAGAGATGTCTGTAACAGCAGGCGTGAGTGATACGGTGATAGCTGTTAGGGAGAAACTCAAGGGTAAGATCGGCCAGACAAAAGTGAAAAGGTATTGGCCTGGCAAAGCCCCGGAATGGGCAGAGGAAGGAGAGGAAGATGAAGGAATTAGGATGTCCAGGGCTGCTGCCCTAGAGAAAACATTCCCTAGACACGATGGATCAGATGCCGGAAGAAAGGATGATCCAAGGTTGCGTAGATTGGCAGAGAGTAAGATAGATGAGGAAGTGAGGGCTGATCATCGACGCATCCGTCAAGCAGAGATTGTTTCGACTATTGAAGAGGAAACGAGAAGGCAGGAAAGGATCAATGAGGAGGAGGAGAATGAGGATGCCCTGGAGGAGAAGAGGAGGAGAATTAGAGAAAAGTTGCTTCAGAGGCAGCAAGAAGAGGCTCTCCCACAGGAAGAGGAAGAGGAGGCAGAAGAATCCGAGGAAGAAGAAGAATCGGAGTATGAGACTGAATCCGATGAGGAGACGACCGTGATAGCAATGGTAAAACCTGTTTTTGTTCCCAAGGCTGAGAGGGATACCATAGCCGAACGTGAGAGGCTCGAGGCTGAAGAACTGGCTTTTGAAGATTCTAGGAGGAAGAGATTGGAAGAGAGGAAAGTTGAGACAAAGAAAATTGTTGTTGAGAAGATTCGTGAGGAGCAGGAGATTCAGAAGAATTTGGAATCAGAGGCTAATGTTGCTGATGTGGACACTGATGATGAGTTGAATGAAGCAGAAGAGTATGAAGCCTGGAAAGCCCGAGAGATTGCTAGGATTAAGAGAGAGAGAGACGACAGGGACGCTATTTTGAAGGAGAAGGAAGAAATAGAGAGGTTCAGGAACATGACTGAGGAAGAGAAGAGGGAGTATGAGAGGAGGAATCCAAAACCTGGTGCTCATCCCAAGCCAAAGATGAAGTTCATGCAGAAATACTACCACAAAGGTGCATTCTTCCAGGCAAATCCTGATGACAGAGCTGGAACTGCTGGCAGAGATGATATCTTCAGCCGTGATTTCTCCGCACCAACTGGAGAAGATAAGCTCAATAAGACAATACTACCCAAAATCATGCAGGTTAAGGACTTCGGTCGTAGTGGAAGGACTAAATGGACACATCTAGTTAATGAAGACACAACTGACTGGACTGTCCCGTAAGTGTTCGTTTTCATTTCAGATGCTCAATGCTTATATTACCAGTAACTTCGTACTAATTGATATGTGCATTTTACTTCTCTTTTAAGTTTATAACTTGTCATATAAACTACTCGTGATGCAAAATTTAAATTCATTTAAGATTAAGCATTTGGAAGTAGTGATTTCACTGGTAATTTTCACGTGAAGTTATCATTAACTATAGCTCAAGTTATGTGCAGATTTCATGTACCAATTTCTATAGTTATGCCTGAGCGGTATGCATAGTTCATTTTCTTTTCAGCATAATAGAGTTGAAAAGTTCTATCAAAATATTCTATTGATTCATTATGCCTAATGTTCTCTGTGTAATAATCTATTCTGGTAGCTACAGTCCTTATCATTTATAAAGTGCATAGTACTCTGTAAATGTTTTTGAGGTTTGTCTATTGTTTCTGTTGAGTTTTTTGGATTTCCATCATAGCTTTTTTAATTGGATACATGAGGTTGGATGCATATGTGTAAAATGTTTTTGAAGCTGCTGTCTTTTTTATTGAGTTTTAATGGATTTCAACCATAGCCTTTTAAATTGAAATCTTGAGATTGAATGTTTAGAGTGATGACTGATCAAGATAAGGCTAGATATAAGTGTGATAGACTGATAGTTGATTCTTTGAGCAGTTTCTTTTGCCATGTGCTTTTTTAATTGATTAATTGGGAACTAATCAATGCCTACATTTTTATGCATGCAAAAAAAATCTAAGAATGAAAGTGTTTGTACTAAGATGATTAATGATTCTATTAGTATGTTGTATTTCTGGAGTGCCAAGGAGCAGTTTTGTCATTTCCATGCCATGTAAGGAATAGTCCTCTTGGATGAGGTGAAACTTCTGCTGCCGCTATTCACGTTAGCACCACCTTTTTTGCTGATATACAATCAGTCAATCAATTGTTTATGGACATTTGGTAAAACTTTATGGATGGCGATAAAAAAAATAACCGAAGAAGGTCCAAAGCTGCCTAGTGAGAAGGGTTTTCTACTATCGCATTAAATTGAAAGGGAAAATGGGAAAGTTAGTACTATATATATATTTGACCTCACATAGGACGCGATTAAGGTGTGTGTTGGGTAGAGTTACTGGTGTAGATGACAGGATCATTCTCAACTATTTAGGTTTGTATATTGTGATTCTCACGCAATCAGTTTCTTTGATCATTTGATGATTGTCTGTTTTAATATTTTTTTACATAAACATCGATAAAAATTCACTGTATCCCGCAAATTTATTATCATGCTGATGTGCATGTGCTTAGAGAGACTTGATTCTGGACCCCTATGTATGTGTTTGGGGAGTTATTCCTTGCTCTTTTCATGTCACATTTTACATTGAGCATGTTATTTTGAATTAACATGATATAGCTCTATTTGGTAAAGGTGGTCGAGCAAGGATACACTTCGGGCAAAGTATAATGCAAAGATGGCTGCAGCAAATGCGCCTATTGAAAAGCCCAAGGGGAAGAAGATGAAGGATTGGGAAACACGTTGAGGTTTATTTTTCAGTTTTAATGTAAGAATGTGATTTCATATGAAACCGCTGAAAAGATTTGTGACTCTTTTCCCTGAGGGAAGAATGGAGGAATTCCAGTTTGCAGTGTTTTAAAGGTTAGGGCTAAAATTGTACGGAGTACTAATTGCAATTCTAACTGAATAAGTTTTCCTACTATGACAGGCAAATCTTTTGTGTTCGGGTAAGTTTGGGATGGAAATTGCATGGGGTAGTGTCATCGGGTCTGAGTCGACTTAATAGATATGAGTTTTATCCTATCCTACTTATGCTACGAGCTGTTTGTGTCTACTTTGTTCTAGATTGGGGAAGATGAGGAGATTTAATGGAAGTGATCTTTCATGATTAACAAGTATAGTATTTACAATTTCTTTATTATTTGATTATATGTTATTATTATTATTTAATTTTATCATTTTCTTTAATCAATGTTTTGCCTAATTATATAGTTTATAATTAGGCTGTGCAATGCACGAGTATGAGTCTAGTTTTTAAAATGCTCTAGCACTTGCATTTAAGAAATTATTACTACTATTTCACAGTATTTATCCATATTTTGATTTTTTACCGTCAAAATTCCCATATTTTGGATATTAGTTAAATAAAATTGATATTTTATATTGATACAAAATTAATTTATTAGCTTGTTTTTAAAATATTTTTAATACATCAATCTTTCTAATGAATATTGTTTTTGTACGAGTAGTTATTTTTAATTATAAATCAAATGTTGATCATGCTTAATTGAAAAAAGATAACACTAGGCAAACATATATAAAATAATATTATAAATATGTTTGAAATAAGAGTAAATTCCATAAATTGTTTTCAATTATATATAGTTTTCCATATTTAGTCTATAATTATAAGATATTTTATAAACAATCCCTAATTTTTGAAAATTATTCCACAATAATCCTTTTCACCCAACATGATAACATTTTGAGTAAATTTTTAAAATGGTTGTTTTCAATAAGGATTTTTTCTAAATTAATCCTCAATAAGCAAAAATTACTAACGTAGTTCTTTATAATTGAGATGTGTTTTTTAAATATATATTTATCAAAAATGTCTATTAAATGACAGTTAAATAAAGGGTATTTTGATGTTCTTTATTATCTAAGCTATGAATAAATCTTTAATGATTTTTTTAAAGAACATCAAAATATCATCTATTTAACTATCATTTTGAAAATTTATTCAAAATACTTTGTCATATTTGGTGAAAAGAAGTATTTGTGGAATAGTTTTCAAGAATTGAGGATTGTTTATGGCAGCGCGAATGCTGCCGGCACCTCCACCCTAATTGTCGCTATCTGCCATGTAGAATTTCATCGGAAATTTGTTCGCCGATGATGTCTTCAGTGCAGCCCCGCAATTCCAACACGTCCACCTCCGACGAGCTCTGGCCACGACTTCTACACTCGACCTAAACTCCTAACTAACGATGAAGAACACCTCTAGCAAGCTCTTAAACCAGGCCTGATGAAGAACAACAAAGTAATAGATTTTGAGATCCGATAGTAAAATTTACTCTAAATAGGACTAAAACATAAGTCATTTTGCAATGTAGTACTTAAACTTTTTTATTTCCTAAATAGTAAAGTGAGGAATAATGTCTAGTGCTGACTGATGATGGATATATACTTGAATAATCATTAATGGATAATGACCACTAATCATACATTAGGAAATAAAAACATATGACCTTATATTGACAAAGTCATTATGTTATAGTTTTATATAGGCAAATTCTCCCTATTGATATGCAAGGTTAGAGATTTTTGCATCTAATTTTTTGTTGTTGACACTTTGGTTCGAATATGTTGGCAAATGACATTGTTTCTTAGTATTTTTACTTTATTAATGAACTGGCATTGTCACTATATATTGTCATCTTTGGCATGGTAGCTATAATTGGCATTGTATTGATCATTTTTTCTTAATAGTCACCGCCTTGTGTCGGAGCAGACACTGGTGGTGTTGGCGTCGATGACAGAACACAATGGAGGCGAGAGATGTCACTGTTGGCGGCAACAAAAAACTGGATTTAAACAACAAATTGTGACAACGAAGATTCAAGTGACACCTGCAAGGGTGAGACATTGGTGACAGCATGGGAGGTAGCGCCGCTAGCAGTGCCGGCATGGCGTGGTTGAGCAGGTTGCTGGATTAACTGTTCGAGAACGGGATCGGGACAACTGAAATCACAAGCTGTACGTCTACTTGTGCGCACCCCTACTATTTCTTAAGTGTTTTCACAACTTTGGAGCATCTTTTCCCAATCTGTTGTAGCATTTTTTGTTGCATTGGTGGAAGCAACATCTCTATTTGTTTTGGGGCTCGAGACCGGTGCTAGGATAATCCCACGTGGTTGACCCCACATATGTAACTCCAAAAGGGTGACCTCATGCTTCGCACAAACCACGGACGATAATCATCTATGTCGCACAAATGATTATCATCTATGCAGGTCAATGCAAAGTATGTAAAGTTTTTCCAACAATGCAACATTATTGATTTCTCAATCTATTATCTGTGTCCAAGTGTATTCATCCTGTTTGACTTTTTCAAGTTAAACTGTATAAATTTTGGACTCCAATTTAATAAAAATCGGAATGCATATTAGTATGCAAACCATGTCTTAGATTTATCTTGTTAAGAATTTTTAAAATTTTATTTCGGCGTATAAATATGCAATACATATTGAGAGTTGCTCAGACTAATTCAAAAAAGTCAAACTAGACAAATACACTTAAACGAAAAAACTATTTCATATGGTAACAAACTGGGGAATGTATTGCTGGAGACTCCCAAGCAGATGGTAGTGAAATATGCATGACACATTGTGAACTAATTCTTGGTGTTAGTGCATCTGAAATGCAAAAAACGTGTGAACAAGGTTCATAGAAGTGGTGGTTCCCGTTGTAAAGATCTATGAATAGCCTTCTGTGCATGGCAATACATTCATAATTGTGATGAACTCTAAAAATTTCATAGAGTGCTGGAAAGGCAGTCTGATATGCCCAGTAAATCATCTTACTCATACTGTCCTACGTAAGACATGTTTTAGTCTACCTAGCTTGTTAAAATATTTTTAGCACTCTGCACCTTGTTTGCTTCTTTACTTGTTTTTCTATGTTTTCTTTTGGTTATGAGCCAGGAGTCTCTTCAAAACAACCTTTCTACTTTCTATGTAGGTATAGGGTCAACCTACTTTCACACTCACCCTCCATAGATCACACTTTGTGGGATTTTACTGCTTTATTGTTGTTTATCCTTGCACTAATTTATTTCTTACATGACAAGCTTAATGTTTCTTATATGAACACTAGTTCCATTCAAGAATTTCAGACTTTTGCTGACAAAAATTACAAAATATGTAACTCATTCAAAGAATACAATATATCAACTCTTGCCCTTATACCATCTATTTCATCTTGTCATTACAAAAAAAACATTTTTTTTACTCTTTGGTTGCTCCTACAACAAAAATTGCATGTAGATCATCAAGTGGATGTTAGACTATGGAACCGCGCAGCAGTAACAGAATAACCAAACCTCGTTTGCTGGGACAAAGTTGCTCCCTGCTCAAATCACAAATGTGCTTCAGAAGAGATGATCTTCTGCTTAATAATGCTGCAGTTTCAGAGGTACAAAGAATTTGCAAACATTATTCCTCGTCTCAGGCTTTCACTGGCTGCAATGAACTTGCTCTCCAACCCAACCTCTCCTACTGCATGTGCAGCACCCTTCAACTGCACAACAACCGAGGTAGGTAACATGTTGAATGTTCAGATATACAGTTTTAATGAGCCCAGGCCGGTTGGTCTCAGGATTGCCCCAACAAAGGTTTTTTTCATCATATTCAACAAAATCCACTCAAAAAAAATTAATATAACAACCATAGTGTTCAACTTCGGTTAATTTGATATTTACCTGGTTCAGAAATTCATCAAGCCTTCGTGCTAGCCGTATTATGCTTCCTTCAAAGATATCAGTCATTTGTATAACCTCTGCAAATGATGCTCCCTGATATGCAATCACAAGTCAGATAACAACAAATCCAGTAAAATCCCACATAAAAAATAGGGTGTGTGAGGCTGTGTGTATGTAGACCTTACCTCTACTCAGAAGTAGAGGCTGTTTTCAAGAAACCCCCAGCTCACAATCACAAGTCAGTTATATGAAAATATGTAATAACTAGAATATAGTAATAATAGCCTTGTGATGTAGGATAATAATACATTCGAGGTGATGTTTCAACTTTGTTTTTACTTGGGGTCCTCTCAGACCCATGAAATTCAAACACAATTGTTTCTTGTCTTTTCTTACTTATATGCAGATATAGCCATCAATGCCATTGCCACATTGATACCAAATGTGTTGCATTCTAATATAATAATGTCTAATATATAAAATTGCAATTATGACATCTGCCTGGTTGGGGCATTGAAACATATCAGCATTGGTCCACTTTTGATTCCAAGGTAGATACGTCGGAGATGATTTTTTAGGAAAAGAAAAACTCAAATGAACATGTGTTCTGTATGGAAAGTGAAATACAAGAATCTAACTCCAACATCTATACTCTACAATATGCCTTATATAGATTGTAAACTCTAAGAAATGGTTGCAACTTGCTCTTTGAAGCACTAACTAGATATGTGCATCCCAATTGAATGTCATAACCAGTTAGAACTGAGTAATGCAAAACAACTGGGGTCACTTGGAACAAAGGATTGACTCACCTTTGACCAGCAATAAATAACATCCATTAAAAATGGCCTAATACATGCTTCTACATATTCCTCTACATCAATTTCCAACTTGCATTCATATTGGATCTGCAAAATGACAAAGCTCTCATCAAACTTCACATTTCCTAATCAAGAAAAAAGAGAATCAAGTCCTTAACTCAGCAGACCTCTGCTATTCTTCTTGCACTTTCCCGTAGCTGTTGCAACGGTTTGGCAAGTTCGGCTCTTAAGTGAATCTGTTCATTTGATTTGTCCCCTGGAATGAAGCAACTTGCCAATGCCGCAATTTGATGGTGATCAAGATCATTGAAAGTACCTGAGCATAAAAATAATTCACAGCTGCTTTAATACAAGTTGATAAACCACTTTCAGATTCCATCACATATATAACCAGAAAATACATACGACAAGTTAATAGTAGATAACAATTGACCTAGCAATCCAAGGTACAGATATAGTATAATGTAAAACATGGTCATACAGACAAGCAATAGATGTTTATACTACATATGAAAGTTTGAAGTTCATGTAATGGAAACATTTGAAGCAGGAACATATGGTCAATAAGATCATTAATAAACAGCATGAGAGAGAGAAAGGGAGAGAGGGAGGGAGAGAGAGAGAGAGAGAGAGAGAGAGAGAGATCCAAGCTACGGATGACATCCACAGCTAAAAAATGCAGAATTCAGACAATCTCCCTTCCTTTGACATGCGCCTAGAAGAGATTCATGCATCATACTGCAATTGCAAGTCTCTAGCACAAAAAAAAGTCAAGATAAAAGCTTTACCGTTAAACATTAGCTCAGTAACAAGGAGTTCATCCCCTGTGTCTATCAAGCATGCTGCTCTTCCTTTCAATTGAACGACACCATCAGCATCAATATGACCCAGTTTTTTAAGGACACGGGAGCGATTTTTAAGTTCATCCCTAAATTTTTGAAGCTGAAATTTTGAAAAGAATGTTTCAACCAAGTTGATAATCTAAAAAACAATGTAAGGGTCCGTTTGGTATACGGAATTAATGGAATTGGAATTGAATTGGAATTGAAATTCCATGAGATTCAATTCCATAGAATTGGATTCATCAATTCCAATTCATTTTTTGCACTCCCAATTCCAAATTTACATAATTTTTGTGCTACCAAACACCAGAATTGGAATTGAAGTCCTCAATTCCAATTCCATAATTTGAATTCCGTGTACCAAACGAGGCCTAATTGATAATTCCCAGAAAACAGTAGCATCAAGAGATCTGCAGAAAAGCATTCAGAGCACGATTACTCTAAGAAAGACTATGTAGCTTTAACCCCCATAATGCATATCCAATTTAAATATATGTATCAAGAATTAGACACATCTACCCTAACATTAAAAAGGGTTACGAAGCATAAACCAAGAATTTCAACACAAGCAAGAGGTCTGAAATGAAACAGCATTTGCCTGTTTTATAAGAAGCATTTCAACTAATAAGGTGTGGCATAAAGAAAAGAAATTCCCATGTAAGAAACCTACCTGTGAATCACGCATCTTTGACTTAAGCTGTTGAATTTCATGGTTCACCTCAGCCTTCCTATGGAAAGACTTAAGCTGATGCTCATCTTGTGACTGCAAAGCATTAATCCACCAATGTAAACTGACCAGTGGCAATAAGTTAAACATGCTTAGGAGAGCTATTACACAAGTAACCGGAAATACAACAACAACCTAGTAGAGTCCCGCAACAGTTCTGAGAGACCCCCAACTCAAGCAACACGGAGAACAGAAAGTACAACAAAAGATCAAAGAGCAAACAAAAGGGAAGGAAAAGCTTGCTAAGACAAGACACACACAAAGACCCAAACCTACAAAACACACGACAGGAACAAAATTACAACCCCGGTCCAAACGACAACCTAATGATCCTAATCCTAAATCTTCAAACATTCCTATTTAAGGTCATATCCTTGATAAGAGCCAGAAGTCCCAAGTCTTGCCTAATTACCTCCTACAAATTCTCCCTAGGTTTGCCCCTTCCCCTAAACCCACCTACAATCGTATGCCTCTTGCATCTCCATATCGGGGCCTCAGGGTCACACCGCCTCACGTGACCAAAAAATCTCAACCTAGCCTCCCACAGCCTATCCTCCACAGGTGCCACCCCCACACGTCTCCAAATAACCTCATTCCAAAACCTATCTAACCTCATCTGCCTACAAATTCACCGCAGCATACGCATCTCAGTTGCACGCAGCTGACGAACATGGGCTTTCTTAACTGCCTAACACTCCGCACCATACAACATAGTCGGTCTAACTACTGACTAGAACCTACCATTCATCCTTTCTAAAATCCTCTAATCACACAGAACCCATGACGCCAACTTACACTTCACCAAGCCGCTCTTATACGGTGAACATCTCCATCTATCTCTCCATCTGCCTTAATGACCAATCCAAGAAAAAAAAACTTATCTCTCTTAAGCACGGGGTGTGCATCAATCCTAACTTCCACCTCTCACTCTGACAACCGACTTATGCTCATGAAGCCTTTGAATTCCAAGGACTGATGATACAACTTTAACTTGTTATTAAGTCCCTCACGAGTCTCGTCGATCAGCACAATATTGTCAGCAAAAATCATGCACCAAGGGACCTCCTCCTCGACACCTTGCGATAAAACATATATCACCGCGGCAAACAAGAAAGGACTAAGAGCCGACCCCTGGTGCAACCCTACCTTTACAAGAAAAGGATCAAAGACACTCCCGACAGTCTTCACCCTAGTCTTGGCCCCAACATACATATCTTTGATTGCATGAATGTACGCAATCGGAACCCCTCTAAACTCATGGCATCTCCACAAGATCTCCCTTGGGGTCATGTACCTTTTCAAGATCAACGAACACCATGTGAAGGTCCGTCTTTGGTTCTATACTCTTCCATCAGCCTCCGCGATAGCTTCTGTGGTCAACTGACCAAGCATGAAATCAAACTGGTTCTCAGAAATGCGCACCTCCTTCTGCAACCTAGCCTCTATGATACGCTCCTAGACCTTCATGGTATGTCTAAGAAGTTTGATGCCTCTATAATTATCACAACTTTGGATATCACCTTTCCCCTTGTATAAAGGGATCACCCCACTTTCTCTCCATTCATCAAGCATCTTGGCAGTCCTAAAGATAACATTGAAGAGCTGGGTAACCCAAGCCAATCCACGGCTGCCCACACACTTCCAAAACTCCACCAGAATCTCATCCGGCCCCAAGGCTCTCCCTCCTCTAATCCCATGAATGGGCTTCGCCACCTCTCCTTGGCTAATACGCCGACTGTATCCAAAGTCCTGATGTCTCTGACTGCCCCAGTTCTCCTAGCTCTAACACCCTATCTCCTCCCACATTTAGAAAGCCATTAAAATACTCCCCCACTGGTTGGACACTTACATTGCCTCATATAGAACCCCGCCAACATTGTCCTTCACGCACCGCACCTGCTCGGCTGCTCCAGATCTCGAGCTTGCTTCTCTCGTGATTTAGCAAGTTGAAAAAGTCTCTTCTCCTCACCCCGCTCCTCGAAGTCCTTATAAAGGCATCCAACTGCAGCATTCTCTGCCCTTGTAACCTCTAATTTAGCTTCCTTACGGGCAGCTTTATACTCTAATTGCAAAGACATCCAAGCCACCTCATCATTATAGTTAGCAAACCTTTGGTAAGCTACCTTCTTAGCTTCAACCTTATTACGAACCACATCACTCCACCACCTGTCACCTTTATGCCAGATCCCAGGACCACCGCTCATCCCTAGCACTTCATGCGCGGCTTCCCTCACTGAATCCACATGTCATTGGCCTCCCCATCGGACTACCACACGTAACAGGATATAATGTAACTTTACTGCTTCAGTTGGAAAAGGAAAGAGAGTAAACATGCATGCATACATACATAGAAATCTTTCTTTAAAAGAAACCCGTACATAGACAAATATTTGTTTGCTTAGTTATACTCATTATTATTTACGGGTTTCATGCAACCTTGTGCAGAGGGTGAGCAAACAATTTTTTCTCCAGTTCTTCTATTTGGCTCATCATATCAACAAATTCAGGATCTTCTATTTCCATGTCCTGCAAAAAGGGAAATTGAATTAGGAAGGATAAACATCCACTTTCACCATACCCTCACAACCTCCAGAAGTCTCAAATGGTAGTGAATAAAGCATTAAAAAATATCCCATGATAGATCTAGGAAAATAGCTTTTGACACCACATGATGACATGAAGTACAAACGTTAAGGAAATAATTCACCAATTGAGTAACAAACCTACCTTCACAGGGTTCAGCTTTGGGAAGCCTTGAGGGAAACTCTTTTCAAGTGCTCCTAAAGCAAGCAGGATGCTTTGCCTTGCCTCAAGCGGACGGAGATCGGGAGGAACAGTTACTCTCAGTTTGCTGATTGCAGATATTAGTGGCAATTGTACAGGAACCTGACAATTGAAAATGTATAAGCCCCAGCCCAGGAAATGACTCATAACAACTAAAAAATGCTATTGTTACAAAATTGTACTCAAAGTGTATTCATCTACAGTACGCTTCTTTCCTTCTTATAGCATACCACATGCATTTCACCCATTTCTCCAGGAACAGGAGGACATGGTTTAGGACGAGAACCGCTTTCACTGGAACCAAGAGAGCAATGAAGTAATGTATCCACAATATAGGTACTACCACGCAAAGCAGAAAGTGCAGCAGGCAAAGAACCTGATGTTGTTGGGGGTCTCCTAACAACATTGACAACAACCCCCCAACCCCAATCCTTTCTGCCCTCCCGAACTTTAACCTGCAATAGAAGTCAAAGCTGTTACAGCATAAAAGAGACCTAAATTGACAAGACAATGCTTGGCCTTTTTTGTAAAAAAGAAAATCAGAGTCGCTTTTTTACAAAAATGGACACCGACAATAGGAATATGATAATGATACATCTTAATGTAAACTGATTTATATTGTTTGGTGTGAATTCAAAGGCAAGAATATTACACAGTCATAACACAAATATATTGTTTCAACAAAATGCAATAGGAATTAAGAAATCACATAATACTTCATGCTTCCCAATATTAATGAAATTCCACCTACCCTATTAACATATTTGCATGGAAATACCTGTTTAGTATACTAGAAGTGTAAGACTTATGTGTGTGATCACCTGGATGGAAAAATAGGGGGTGAAGCACAAACTTTTGTAAAATGTAAAACTGTCCGTTTTGTTCATTAAGAAATGAAGGGAAAGTTGAAACCCAGAAAATGGATTGTTGAGAAGTTGAAAACACGTGTAAACAGTGCATAGGTGCTGTTCATCCTTTTTAAAACTGCTCAATGTTTTTCACTTTTTTTGCAGATTCTAAGAGGGATCATTATATCTAAAAAAATCAAAATTAAAATTAGAGTGGCCATGTGATAGAAGATAGTGAATAAATAGACTTGGAGAAAGGGAAAAAAAAAGCTCCCTACTAAACATGCTTGAGATGTCATAATCAACAATTTTGATAACTTACACTCAGTGATTGCATAAATGCAATGTTTCACTGACAACCTAACTATTTTAGTTCTAGCCTTAATTATCAGAATGTCTTTTAAAAGATTCATATTGCCAACTTATTATTTTTGTTAATATGTATGGAATTCTGATTCAGTTATTCAATAATTACAAAAAGCATTGAATTTCAAATACTTAATGTCATATGCTCATATACAATTTTGTATTATTAGATCATCAGAATTTTTAAATCGCCTTCTCACCATGGAGTCCATGAAAATATGTTACCACCAAGAAAATTGAAATTAAGACTACTGTAGGGTTTATTTTGGATGAGCAGGTGTATTTTTGCACATGGTTGGCATATTAATATAAAATGTAAGGTTTAATAATTAATGGTGCCTCGTGTACGAGAAGCATGTGCCTGAGATGCTTTTAGGTGTGCCTTGCGCCCTTATCAACAGAAGTCCCAATAACAGAAACCAACCATTATGCACAAAAGTAGAACACATCATGAATAGAAGATAGAGATCAAAATGCAGAGCAAGTTAGCATAGATCATATACGGCACCTTCTACATACCAGTCTACCGGGCAGTAGGAAATAAAGAACCCTCTCAGGTCGTGTTATTTCAGCCATCATTTTCTTCTCAATTTGTGATATCTCAAGCTTCAACTTATGATATTCAGCTACCTCAGCCTGCGAAGGAATAGAAAAGATTAAAGGACAAAAATATATTATTCAAAGAAACTATATACAAAAGTACCTCTCCTGAAGCATCGAGCACAGCAGCTTCCTCTTCTAGCATAGAAACTTTTTTCCCTATATCAGGCAAGGCCTAATGAAGCAAGAAAGTACATCAGTGCCATCAATGCAGTAGAGATTGAAAACTGTTTCTCATGAAAAATTACCTTCTCGTACTGAAACTGGTGGAAAGAGTGTTTGATAACACGCTCAGCAGTAAATTGGCCTTCAGCACGACTCATTAAGTTCAAAATTGAGTAGTAACTAAGCCTAAATGTGCTGAGCAAAGGTGCCGGTTTCCCCAAAATCATGTCCTTCAGGGTGTTCATCTCCATCTGCAATCAAAATATTTTAACCCAACATTCCCTCAACATTTGAGCAAATTATTCATGCATAAGGTTAACTTTTGCTTTGGTTCATACTCCATATAATAAAAGAGAACTTTCTAACTTAAATGCTAGTTGTTGTGATATTCTCCCTCCACCCCAAAATAAACTTCACACTTTCATTTTTTCCTTCGTCCCAAAATTAACTTCACTTTCTCTATTTCTTTTAAGAGATTGAATGTGTGGCTCATCCCATTTCTCTTTCTTCTAAACAAATTCTAACTATAAACTTTTCAATGTTTCATTTTTAACACTCCCCTAAACTTCAAGAAGTAAAACTATTAAGTATATTATGGGACAGAGAGAGTAAGTTGTAAAGTTCAGCACCCTCAATGCATAAATTATTCTAAGGAACATATATAAATCGAGTTTTGGAGCATGAGACAAGGTGTAACAGTTCACAAAACTACACAGGGTGACAACATTCTGTTACGGATCCAGTGTATTTAGTACTCCGAATTATTATTATTATTATTATTATTATTATTTATTATTATTATTAATATTATTATTATTATTATTATTATTATTATTATTAGATATTCCAAGGTAGTCAAACTCTCAAGTGGACTTGTAAAGTCGTGTGATGCCACGCATCACCCAGAGATTAGCGATCAAAATTGCGAATAAGATTGGTAATCTATGCGGCGCATACGGGCTGACGTGCTGGACCATAGGAGCGCTGAAATAGCAGTGGCTGGCAAAATTTAGAATCATCTTTGATGGAAATGATGATCACATGTCGGAAATCCAAGACACAATCAAACAACTCAGTTTTTTAACAACTCTTGCAATCGGAAATTCATCCTAACCTGCGACAGGGACTCATAGGTTTCATCGAATCATTGGTGTATAAATGCTCTGCAAGGATTCCAGTTCTTCACCCATAAAAATACACAAATCGTACCTGTGCTCTGCAAGAGCACTGTACCTGTGCATCACCATTCTGCTATGTGTGTTCCTTATGCTCAGAGTCCACAAGAGCATTGTGTTTTTCATTCTACTATAATTCTAGTTCTGTATTAAGAAACAATATCACTCAACCAGTGAGCCAGGTATCTTTACAGTAAACGTCTCTGTTTATAATCTTCAATTTATTTGTTCTTGAGGCTTGAGCCTGATGTCATTCCCCACATAAGCCGTATCATATTTTTTATCTCTCACTTCACGGTAGAGTGTCTGTCCACTGTCGACCTATGCTGCCGCCTCCTCCTCCCTACCGGCCGAACCCCTCCAAGCATTGGTCACTACCAACAAGCAATGGTAAAAAAGTAGAAGATAGTAGAGAGAGCAGGAAAAAGTTTGAGAGAGTTGGACACTCTAACCCTGTTATGAATGAAAACTATTCCCATGCCACCAATTATGGAATTTGTTCTTGAGGCTTGAGCCTACCCACAAAACTATTCCCATGCCACCAATTATGGAATTTTTGGTGAGACAATACATTTTTGGAGTTTGCAGCATACAAAGTTGAAGAATTGGCTGAGATAATAGATGTACAAAATCAAAACTCACTTTCTATAGAGACTATATAGTGTCATTGAGAGGTAGAGTTGTTGGTATCTACTACTTCTACTCCTATATTACTGACAAATTTAAACCATTGAGGTGAAGGGGGCAAATGATGTTTAATGAGCAAATTAGGGCAAGGGGTGAACAGAGGCCTTGTTTACCTAGCATTCCAGCAACAAAAGCAAGCTCCTACCTACTTGTTCTGACCTAGGATAATAAGCTAATTGGTTTGGTGCATGCGAAGTCCAACTAAAATACCCAACAACTAGGTTTTTGTAGCTCAATTACTTATTTGTTGGGAGAAACCAATCTCATTTGCAGCTGCGTGCTTTTATTGATTAAACATAGAAGAAAAAATTTTATTTCTCATCAAGCAGTCATGCTAGGGTTGCTAGCACCACAAATAGTACTTGCGGAATCATGAATAATTCTTAAGCAAAAAAACCCTCTTTACATCATTTATTCGCATGTACCTGCAGTAGCAGTCAAGTAATGTCCTATTATTTCACTTGTTTCATCCTGCCGACCCACCGGCTTCTATTTGTCTAGATGTGATCCAAGAGGGTTGAATTGCTTGAAGTCCATATTTACCGAAACAAATATGATTACCTCATGAATAGAAGCACTGACAAATGAAGTTCTTGAAGAAATCAACCATAGACACTAATACAATATGATCCACTCTTCATAGACAAAGTTGGGGTTGCAATGCCCCGTTATCCGCATATGACTATTGAACCCACATATGGCTATTGACTACAGTACATGATTTTCATGATTCACACTTCACATGATTGCATGGGATTCTACGTGATACTAACATAAAGATGGGGTCATCACAAAGTCATATATCTAAGTGGTTGCAAAAGGATTGGTAGGTTCACCGAGTCAGTTTTATGTATATTCCCTTGTTTTTTCATAAATCACTTTGAACATTCCAGAAGAGTTTAAAATGGGACATTCACACTCTTAGAGAATAATACAATTAAATTACTATGTTCATCCTATATTGGTGAGTAGGGTGACGGAATTATGTTAAGAATTCAAACCATTATTGTCAAAGTTTGATAAGTTATATGAGAAAAAGTAGTGCACAAGTTGTTAAACTTGGAATCGCATCCAATTTCCAAATCTGAAACCAAATACGCAACAACCAAGTGTATACTGGTTTGTGAACTTACAACATAAACAGGTTACTTGAGCATAGTAATTTGAACTGATGTGAACTTAGACAATTCAGAGACTATAATAAATTATACAATACCTGCTCATCTATCATTATGATACAAATTCCACGATCATCTTTGCCACGGCGTCCAGCTCTTCCACTCATCTAAAAACAAGTCATGAAGGCTTTCAACCATTAAATAAAATCCCGCCGACAGCAAGATCTCTATTACTATTGTAAAACACACTTACTTGGATGTACTCTCCAGATCCAATGAATCTGTGGCTATCACCATCCCATTTCTTGACACTAGTAAAAACTACTGTTTTTGCAGGCATGTTTAGTCCCATCGCAAACTATCAATTGTAGAAGACAGTTAAATAATTCATGTTGACCCAAGTGTAAAGTACTCATAAACATAAAACTAGGATATTTTAAGTATTTTTTTTACCGTTTCAGTTGCAAAAAGAGCCTTAACAAGTCCTTCTTGGAAGAGAAGTTCTACGAGTTCCTTGATAATAGGGAGCAGGCCAGAATGGTGCACAGCAATACCACGCTGAAGCAGTGGCAGCATAAGTTCTATGGCAGGTAAGCTTCTATCTTCCTCATTCAAGCAGAGTATTGCATTCCTGAATACCTGTTCAACAATATCCTTCTCCTCTTCCGTATTGAAATCTAGTTTGGACATAGACATAGCATGTTGTTCACACTCTCTTCTACTAAAGCTGAAAATTATGACTGGCTGGAACTTCCGTTCCATAATCATCTGCAAGTTAGAGAGGATTGCAACTTCAATGATACAATACAATAATCATATTGGCACATACAAACCATTATAGAAATAAAATGGAACATTTTCAGAGAGGTTTGCACACCTTCACAATTTTGTAGATGTCAGATCCACCAGAGGCTTTCCCTCCTTTAGCAATTCTACCACTTGCCTTGGGATTAATACCCTTGCTTCCATTTGCCGGATGCTGCTTTGTAAAAGCGTCCTGTACTTTTGCAAAATTGTCCTCCCTAAACTTCTCAGTTTCATCCACTACAAGATACAATCCAGAGCCACCTGTGGGAAAAACGTAATGCTGCAATGGTGTAGGGCGGAAATCAGTGTAAACCACATGACATGGCTGCTTATGCAAATTGCATATCCATTCAGCAAACTCAGTAGCATTTGACATTGTAGCAGAAAGGAAAACCATCTTAATCGCTGGCGGCAAAAAGATAATACTCTCTTCCCAAACAACGCCTCTCTCGCGATCTTTCATGTAGTGTATTTCATCAAAGATAACCCAAGCAACCTCCTTCAACACCTCAGAACCCCTATAGAGCATGCCTCTGAGGATCTCCGTGGTCATCACCAGACAGCTTGCATTTGGGGAAAGTGTAACATCTCCAGTCATTAACCCAACGTCAGAAAACTCTTGGCTCAGTTCTCTATATTTTTGATTGCTTAGTGCTTTCAGTGGTGAAGTATATATGACCCTTTGTTTATCCCTGAATGACATTGCAATAGCATACTCTGCCACAGCTGTCTTCCCAGCAGATGTATGTGCTGAGACCAAAACTGACTCGTTCCTCTCCAAGCATGCAACAGAAACTTCTTGAAATGGATCAAGATTAAACGCATAGGTCTTTGCCATCTCCCCATTATAAACAGGACTACTAAGAGTACCATGAACAGATTCATCCTTACTTGAGGTATACCCAGTTGGAACTGCCACCTCATGCACACATGTTCGAGTAATGTTGCGCCTCTTTGAAGCTGAATCTTCATCTGGAACTTCTACGCCAGCTGAATTTTCCTCCGCATATTTCCTTTTAGCTACTTGTGACGAAAACTCTTCAGCTTTTACATCCATTTCTTTTTCTTTTTCTTTTTTTGCTTAAACCCTCAAATGAAGAATTTTCTGCTTTCAATCTGATAAATTAACACACACATTAACTGCAAACCCATATCAAAACAAAGACAAAAGCGAAGATATGTGGCATTTGCAGAAGAAAGTGCTACCTCAGGTTTGCCTGTGTCCGGGCCGCAGAGTTGTGCAGCAACTAGGGTTTGCTATTTCGCCCGCAGAGATATGGCGGACTGGCGATAGAGGTCGGGAGGCGCTGAAGTTTTAATTGAGTAAACAGTAATTTTATTTGAAAAATGATATGGGTACACCAAATGTGTACTCCATTTGTCTCCCACTCCCTCCTTGTCCACAAAAAAAGCAAGAAATTCAAAAAAATAAATAAATAAAAATAAAATAAAAATGGGTGGTGGAGAAGAGGGTGGTGTACATTTGGAGTACACATTTGGAGTACACATTTGGTGTACCCCTAGCATTACTCATTTTATTTTTCATTGTTACGCTTTTATTTTTTGATGGTTTCATTGTTACGCATAATCATTTTAGCTTTTCACATACATGTAGGAGTGACCAAGGACATAACCGATCCTAAAATTTTCTCGAAAAAATCAAAAATACCGAACGGATAAATACCGCAAAAAAAACTAAGTTGTACCAAACCGAACAGTGGGTCCGCTATTTGAAAGCAGTACGAGGTAACTTCTCATATCGAAAATCTCAAACCGACATATATACTAATATATTATAAAAATAATAATCTTTTTATATTTCTTCATTAAAAAATATACTCCCTCCGTCCGGGAATGATGTTCCCACTCTACGTTTTTTTCGTCCGGGAATGATGTTCTCATTCTACTTATTTTTTACCATTCTTCCAATACTACCCTCCTCCTCTTCTTTCTTTCTCTTTTTTTTTCTTCCATTCTTTCCTTCGGTTGACTCCTTCCTCCTTATCTTTTTCTTTTTTCCTCTTCCATTCTTTCCATTCTTTCTCTTTTTCCTTGGTTTCTTCCATTCTTTTTCTTCTCTATTTCACTGATCCTCCTCCTCCTCCTTTTTCTTCTTCTTCTTCTTCTTCCCATGCTGTTTCTCCGATCCATACGGATCCCCCTCTTCTTTTTCTCATCACCATCTTCTTCTTCTTCTTTTCCTCCATTTTTCTTCAAGATCTAAACAAATCTATGACAGAATCACCTTCCGCCTCTTCTTCTTCTTCTTCCCTTCTTCGTATGCCTTTGATTTCTTCCAGATCTGCGATGGAGGGGGATGACAGCGATAGAGGGACTGGCGGTTGTGGTGGAGGCTGACGGAGATGTGGGTGTTGGTGGAGATGATGAGGTTGGCCGTGGTGGTGGGGGATGGCGGCGAGGGACAGACCGACGGTTGTGGTCGGGGCTGGCGGCGACCGGCTGCTGGTAGAGAAGGTGGGATTGGCAGTGGTACCATTTAAGAGAGGCATGCGATTGTGACTAGCGGATGGTGGTCGGTTAGATCTGCGGTAGTGGTGGAGGCTGGGGTTGGCGGCGGCAGTGGTGGGTGCTGGAGCGGCGGTGGGTGTTGGGCCAGTGAGTTCCAGCGGGTATGATGGGTAGGGATGGGTGGAGGGCATTTTTGTCTATTTACTCCTTTAGTCAATGCCTCTTAAAAATGAGAAAAATTCAAAGTGGGAACATCTTTCCCGGACGGAGGGAGTACTTATTTTGAAATTTTAGTTGAAGTTTCATTTTGTGTAAATTATATTTTAATTTGAGTTTTTTATTTTTTATATATGATTATAAAAATATTAACGATCATTCAAAATACTATCTTCTGTTCTCTTTAGTTTATAAAATATAAACAAAGTTTCATAAGCATTTCTTACATTTTATTATTCATTTTCAAATTTTTTATTTTTCTTTATTTACATGTACTTTCGCTTTTCAAAAATAAATAGTTTTGATACTTTTAAGGTGTAAACTAGGTATATATTCATTTTGATTCTTATCAAACTGATCTCAAACCATACCAAGCTGATACTTCGGGATCAGTACGACGTAAAATCTCATACCAAACCAAATTAGTTGGTATGGTTTCGGTACGAGCTAAATACTATACCACACTCACCCTTATATGTCTGCAAGTTTTGAATGACCGTTAGGAAGCAACGGTCACTTAACATATTTTTATAGAAATGGCATCTTATACACAAATAAATAAAATGCATGTTTATTTAGGTTTTTTTTCAATTTTTTTAGTTTTTTAAAATTTTAAATTTTAAATTTTAAAATTACAGTTTTTAAAAATATAACAGTATACTCCAGTTCACTCTTTTAAAGACATAATGGTTCACAAATTTTGTATTTCTATTTTGAAAAAATGTAATGGTGGAATATCAAAAAAAATCAAAGTATTGCTCCAGAAGAAATTTGCAATACAAAAATTTGTTAGAAACTATATAAAAAAATTAGTTGCCATTTGGACAATAAATTGTTGTGCCATTTTTACAAAATTAGTTGCCATTTATTTGGAGAAATAAATTGTTGATCCATTTTTACAACTTTTGTGATACGGAGTATTATTTTGGAAAAATTGTTGCACTAAATTATAAAAAAACACAAATTTGGTAGTGACATTTTGAAAATAATAATAATATTGATACTCAATTATGAAACATAATTCAGAGAACTGTTCAAGAAAAAAGTGTAGTGAGCTATAAAAAAATTAGTTCCATTTGAAGAAAAAACTTTTGTGTCATTTTCACAGCTTTTGTAATGTTGTTTTGCAAATTTAAAAAAGTAGAGCATTATTTGAAAAATTCATAAGTTTTTTAATGTGATTTTTGAAAAATAATATCAGTGTTGCCCTTCTCTTATTCTTCTGTCTCTTACTGAGTACGAAAATTTGTCCAGAATCGATGGTTGACATCATTTTAGTACTTACAGTTGTCATATAATATGTGCATATAGCCAAAACTTAACACATAACCATGTAATATATGTTTATTACCTTCATGTGGTAGAAGATTGTGACAGTCCAGAATGTAAGTTTGGAAATCATTTCTTTTTGATCCGATGATCGATAATAAAATCATATGCTCCTATACCAAATTTTAACACCTTAACCCATCGAGGTCTGCAGTCCTTTTCATACTAAAGTATTAACTTGGTAACGACATATTTTAAAACATCCATAAACTTTAAACACTTCAATGTGTTTTGGAAAAACATGATAATATAAAACATTTATTTCAACAGATTAAAAACATTTTTGAAACATTATCAAAGTTTTCATAATAGTGTGGAAGCTAAATAAATTGTTTTGATAACACAACCATGGTTCATGCATGCTAAAAATATAAAAGTCTGTCACACATAGATTGAGTTACAATTCATAACCCTGATGTCCTCTGGGATTGCCTCTAAATTTATTTTTTTGTTCTGTTTATCTGCGTGTAGCAAATAAAACATATTAGATGCTCAATGTGAAATTGAGTGGGGTATCTAATTTTTAGAACTTACACATAGATAGAGTCACAATTCACATCCAAATGATATAGTATCATGAAAACAATATACAAGTCAGATCATTCAATATTCATCAATTATCATTTGTGATATCAACAATAATGCTCTTAATTTATCATTGGTCTAAAGCCAATTAATTTTTTTACACAATAACCATTTATGGTATCAACACGAGTACCCTTAAAATATTTTTAGTCTAAGGCCAAATCATATCTTTTTTTTTGCACAAGAATCGTGACCTACGTGATGGTAGCGATAGTGGACTACCGTTTAATGGGATCAAGTCATTGTCTGTCATCTTCAATTTTCAATTTTAGTGAAAAAGGCATGTAACGGTAGCAAGCTACCATTACACGGTAATCAACTACCGTGTCAAGGTAGCATGTTACCATGCCTGTGTATTGAACTGCCGTGTGAAGGTATTGAGCTCTCATGACCAGTATTTGATCTTTAACCTCGGTCCAATGTTCGTATGGGTCGTTATTTGTTATTAAACTTGATTTTGATCCTATTGAAATGTTCTCTAACATCTATAGATCATATTAAATCAATTTATTCAAAACTTTGACAATATTTTTTAACTTTGTGTTTCATGGGTTCTTCAAAAATCATATTCAAGCTTTTATAGCATATAACTCAACCAAAATGATCGTCTATGAGTGTAGAAACGACTTAGATGCATATTTTAACATCACATATATATATATATATATATATATATATATATATATATATATATATATATATATATGTGATGTTAAAATATGCATCTAAGTCGTTTCTACACNCCGGTGAGAATGAGATCTTACGAAAGAAATAAGAATCAATTTACACCGTTAGATCTCATGGGCTTTTTTGGGTTTACACAACTCAATCGCTATGTCACTCTATCCTCTCTCTCCAATCTTTTCCGTAAAATCCTCTCAAGTCAATTACCATCTTCCTCTTTCACTGATAACTCTTTTTCCCATTGATGTTCCTCAATCTTTGCCATAATTAATAGTTATTTCCTTCCATCTCAGGATTTCAATTTTTTGGTTGTTGAATTTCCAGAATTCTTTGATTTGAGTTCTTTCTTTAAACATAGTGCGAATCGGGTTGCGAGATGTAGATTGCAGGGACAACAATGGAGGCAAAGCTTGTCATTCGATTGACGGTTAATGCTAAAATAAATCATGGAAAGATATGGTAGCAGTTTGGTTTTGCTTCCATCCATACAATTGGGTTTAATCTTCTTTTTTCTCTTTCTTTTTATTATAATTTTAATCAATTTCTTTTGTGTAAAGGTAGTGTTGATTCATTAGACTATATGTTTGCAAGCCACATGTTTGAAAAAATGTCCCAAAGATTTATTTGGTGCAATGTAATTCTAGCCTTCTATTTTGAGTCAATTTCATATTTTATTTTTGGTTATAGCATTTTTATTTTATTTTGTACAATCCTCTTCTAGTTTTCTAATATTAGTGATATCCAATATAATTTTTTTCATTTCATATTTTATACTTTTTGCACAATACTGCATTCTGTTTAGATAGTACTGCATCTGCATATGTAAAGACTGCATTTTTAATTTTTGCACAGTATCACCTTGGTTGTGTAGAAGTGTATTTTTATGCTTATAAAGAACTTGAATATAAATATCATTTTGTATGCATAAAAAATATAATGGTGCAAGAAATATATCTTTACACATTAATATTATTCTTGTGTGACTTTTCTTCTTGATGAAGATAAC